TCCTTCTACTTGCAAATATTAAGAGCTTGGTTGTGCATCAAACTTTCACTATCATTTCACAACTTTGCCGGTTTCTAAATGGTTAGAATTATTACTGACTGAGCGTTAGAGATGACAACAGGCAAGTGTGAAGTGGGTATTGAAAGATGAGTATTTTATTTTTTAAAATAATATAAAATTAGTTCTAATTTAATTTTTTTAAGAAAATATGGAACATCAGTATTTTTTGTTTATTATTTTTTTATTTGAATGTTAGAAATAATTAAAAAAAAATTGACCTTGATGTTTATATTGAACAAAAATTTAAGAGAGAGTATTAAAGAAAGTATTGATATCATTGTTCTTGATAAAAATAATACTTTATAATCAACGATACTTTTTAAAAATCAATTTAAAAATAAAGACTAGATCCTCATCCTACCATAAATTGTTCTGCTTTTAATTGAAAACAGAGAATATCTTGCTTTAGTTTGCTTTACCAAACATATCCATGAGTTAATAACAATAATAATACTGTTTTTTGTCGTCTGAATTGGCAAATGTGGACCTTTTCGTGTTTAAAGGCTGAATTGATACTGAATAAGTGCCAAAAAAGAGAAGAAAAATTCTTAAGATACAATCAGTCTAATCAATTTGATTTGTATAAAGCAAACTTTATAATAAAAATTTACATCTAATGCAACAATAACTCCTTTATGAAAATAAATAAGTGTTAATTTTAAATAGAATTTTCCTTTAATAATATCTGTTTCATGCGATGCATTATAAAATTTGATAATCAACAATTTTAACAAAAAAAAAAAAAGAAAAAAAGAAAAAAATGATAATACGACATAAAAATAATTAATAATTTTTTTTTAATTATGTAAAAAATGAAAAGAGAAATTCTCTTTTAAAACAAAAAAAAAAAGTACAAAGAACGTGTTTGTCATGTTTAAATAAAGAGGCTAGGACGGCAAAAACAAACAAAATTTGCGACGGTTCTTGTGATTTGCCAAACTTATACTAGTATGCTTTTCGTTTTCAGCTGTTCGGTTGAATTCCATGTATGCATAGGTTTCTTCTCTTATGCTTCCAAAAAAGCTATAGTAAAATAGCAGTCAAGTGACCTTTTCGTGATACACACCATTCCAAGAAAAAAAGATTGCTCAACTTTCTCGTCAAGGTGGAAGAAGAAATCGTGTAATTTTTCTCTTACACGCAATAGATTTTTTCCTGCCTGTTTTTGATTGGTTTTTATCCATATAAATCTCGTGGTTAAATGAATTCAAGGTTGTGCAAGCTTCGTAGCTTGTTACTTCGCTGAAAATTCATATTCCATCAATCAGGAAAGGAAAAAAGAAAAAGAGGGAGAAGGAAATTTCTTTGTGTTAGAGATGGAAGTTTGGTTAATTCTTTCAATTACGCTCCCTGCAATGAGTGTAGTATAAGTGTACCATAAATAATATCATATACAAATTATATGCTGAATATTTTTTTATCAATTTAAATGATATGTTATAAATTTGAATATTTGTCGGAGTTCTATTCCGTTCTTTCGTAAAAACATAAATTTTATTATAAAACTAATTTATAAATTTTATATTTTGCGAAGTATTATGAGATATAGTGACTAATTCCTTTATAAATTTAAAATAGATGTTGTTATTGGAAATTTGTTAGTGCTTATGAATTTTGATAAATTCAATTCCAAACCATGCTATGATAATTTAGTTTTCTTAAACTATCTAGTTTCGGTATTGATAATTTACTTATCCTCATCTAGAAAGTTAATTAATTTCAATTTCTATAAGTTGACTAAAGAATAATTCACATAGTGACAGTAAAATTGAAAGAAGATGAAGAAGAAGTACAAACTGAAGTTATTTTATTTCTAAAAAAATGGAACAATTATGAAAGATTAAACAAGTATTATATCACTATACATGCCCTGAATTAGAATCCCAATCATGACACCTGTGGTTTGTCCTCGTGGAGTAGAAGGTTCTCAAAAGACTAGACTCATTGATTTTTTGCTCTCTCAAATTCAAATCATGGACTTTTGACTTTTACTTTCAATTTATTTTTTATTTTTTAATGTTCACGTATATGCATAAAATTCTTTTCCTCTCTTGGTTGACTTGAATTCAAGATTGGGGGCATGTTTTGGATTGTTTCCCAGGTAAGTTTGGTGACAAGTTAGTCGTCGCTATAAGTCTCTTCCTCAGTCTCTCTCTCTCTCTCTCTCTCCAACATAAATTCCTTTTCGTTTTTTGGTTTTTTTTTTCCAAATAAAATTTTTATTGAACTGAAAATGTAAATGAGCAAAACTTATATATTTTGATTTGAAGTTAACTAATACTCCTTCTTTTTTAAAAAAAACTTATATTTGATCAAAACTTTAAATAAAATATTTTTATAAAATACATCTAATTGATAAAAAAAAATTAATTATTTCTTTTATTTTCTTTTTTTACTAATAAAAAATTAATTTTATGTATAAATATCCTTAATATGAATTTTTTTTTTAAATTTTCTGTCACATAAAAAATATTCATTATTATAAGGATTTTACTTCAAATTGAAATTTTGAGAGTAAAATATTTTTATTGGTATATTATTTTATTCATAATTATTTTAAACTTTATCGTTAATTAGCTTAATAATTTTTCTTTGATTTATTCTATCAGTTTTAAATATTTTTTAAAATTAATAATAGTTTCATGCAATGTATGATTAAATATGATAACTAATAATTTTAACACAAAAATATTTAAAAAATATATAAATAAAAATACTAATATTACATAATAATTAATTATTTTCTTACATTATATGAAAATCAATAAGACAATCTCTTTAAACGATTCTATTAATAGACAAAATGAAATGCAGTTACATGCTACATTAAAGATAATCATGAAACATAGAATAAACATTAAGGACATCCATTCTTACTTTTCAATTACCACGACTTCGTTTATTATTTATTACTTTTTTCAAATCCATGCTGGACCGCATCGTTTCATTTCAGAACTTAATTTTTAATTCTTGAAATTAAGGATTACAGTCGCTCACTGAACGACTCGGTCCGGTTCTCGTGTTTTTTTTTAAATCAAGTTTAGTACGTAACTTATTTGGTTTCAATCGTCATAGTTGACTCACTCTTTTTTTCTGGGATCTTTGGCTGATTTGCTTACTTGTGTAGTTCTAATTATACTCGCAGGTCAACAACTTCAGCTGCTAAAGTTATTGGTAGATTCTTTGTATGACAAGTTCAATATTCGTGCCAAAGCTCTTGATTCTTGTTTACTGTACAATACAAAAATATTCTAACCGAATATTAATTTAATTTGTAATTCATGAAAAACCTAATAATTAATTTGAGTCTATTTGTTTGAGATAAATTATGAGATATATATAAAATTATTTCGTTATAAAAATATTTTATTTCGCATGTTTTTATTGATATATTTTTTTAATCAAGTTGCACACGCGCTACTCTTTTTTTATTTTTTTATTTTTTTTTGCACTATTAAAAAAACCAGATGCACAAGTATTCAGCAATCTTCAATGAGTAAATATGATCACTATTATCAAAACATACGAAAACAAGTGATTTCATTTTTTTTTCTGTAGTATCGAATTTTATAATTTTAATCATAATAGAAGGGAGATTAATATATTTAAACAATATTTTATACATGCTTTCAACTTTCAAGTTGACAAATTGTTCGATATAGAACTTTCAAAAGTTTTTTTCTGATCGATTCACTGCTTTGGTGAAATCCGAATCGGTCCCCGTACAGATGTGCCATTTATCTTTATGACATTAAGCTACTATGACTCTTTGACTGAATCAATTATAATATTATTGTTAAAGGCTCAAAGTCGGCAAGCCATCATTTTCTCTTCCTATCAACTTCCTCAAGCCTATCAATTTTGGAAAGAAAGATAAGGTCAGGCCAGGTATTTTGGCCTTTCTGAAACAATGCTCGATGTTTCCGAAACCGCGTATATATACGTATTGCACCTGAATGTGTTTAAATATTACTACAAAAATTTGAAGGCAAGAAAAGAAAAGTATGCTAGTCGGGGTGAGCAAAACGGAACCAGACCGAACTGAGCCTTCATAATTTGGTTCAATTGGTTTGATTTGTTCTGTCTATGATTTATTTAATTTGGTATTTTGATTTTATTTTGACAACCAAACAAAATGAACAATCCAACTTTTTTTTTTTTAAATAAAAAATTTCAAATCATACAATTTTGTTTGGAAAAAACAAAAAACCAAATCAACCGAACCGAAATACTTCAATTGACATAACTGGTTTAGCTTGATTTTTGAAAAAATCAAGTCAAATAAACTAAAAATCAAACCAACTCTTATCCGCTCATCCCTCGTTGCTAATGATAAGTGACGTTATGATTACTAGTTGGTTTATAAGAAAATGACTAGTTGATAGAATTTAAGCTTGTAATTATGTCATTTTTATTTTGGAGAGTTTTTGCTTAATAGTGGGATATATTTGATCATTAAAAAAAGACAAAACCTGGAAATTAATACCTGTATTTGTATCAATTATTCAATTTTTACCTTGTATTTTTAATTTGACGAAAACATCTCTGTGTTTTCTAAATTTATCCAATTAACTCTACTGTTAACTTTGATTGACATGGCATCTCGTGCGACTATAAATAGAAGTCATACGTCTTGTAACATCAAATAAAGTCACGTGACTCAGCCGTTATAAACGGTAAAAGGCGGGCTTCTATCTCTAATTCTTTAATCTATATAAATTCCTAAAAGGTCATTTTTAACCTAATCCCTACAATTGTAGATCCAACGAAATTCAATTCCTTGCATTTTCGTTTGTAAGTGTTGGCATGCTGGAAGAAAATCAATCTTCGTTCAATTTCGATTGGAAGTAAGTCAATTTGCTGACTCTACTTTTGTTCATTAGTTCGGACCTAACAAAAACGATTCTTAATCTTCCATTTGGACAAATATAATTGGAGGGCTATACAATGGAGATGTCAGCGGTAGCCATAATTTCTTCATTATAGGCAGCCACTACGATATCACTATTATCGCAATCTTCGCGGGATCCATTCTCTTCATTGTTCTCCATATCGTACTCTCGTTAATAATAATAAAATAAAATAAAATAAAATCAAGAGAAAAACGAGAGGGTTGATAATTGCTCCCCGAAAACAAAGGCAAATCCTCCGGTACCGCAAATGTCAGGCAACTAAAAGTTGATGAAGAGCTCAGAATAGAATAGCGAGGAAGAAACAACCACTCCTAATTTTTGAAACTGATTTTTGATTTATGAAAGAAACTAAGAGTTGATTTGAGAATTGAAAGTGTTCTGGTTGATAATGCCTATTTGGGGATTATAACCCAAAAAAAAAAAATAATAATAATAATAAAAAAAAGAAAGTGTGCATTTTCTTTTCTGGTTTACAATGCGTGAGAATTTTTATATTATTTCAGAAACAATTATCAATATTTATTTCATAAGATATAAATAGATAAAAAAAAAAATTTCTCTTGTTCTTCTCTGTTTTTTTTTTGAGGCTTAAGTAAAAATATTTTTATTATTTTTTGTGAGTTTGAATGCGATTTTGTTTAATAAATTTATAAAATAATTATTATAAATATATAATCATTACTCTTTAAGTATCTTTAAGTATTTTAAAATTTCAGAGGAGTAATTGATATTAGTGATCCCGTGATTTCACCCAATGTTATGGTCATGTGATGTTTATTTTCAGTCCCACAAGATGCCAAAATTAAAGTCATCGTCTTTGACTAATGTTGATGGTGATTTTTATTTTTAATGTCACTAGATGCCAAGTTGGCGTGGTATTTAACTACGAAAGTTAACCACAGTCAGCAATAGATTTAAATATAGGATTAAATTTAGAGGTTCTGTCTTGACAAAAATATTCTTCTTCTTTTTATCAAAGAGTATAATAATTTCAATTAATGCAAAATAGTTTAAAATACAAAACCAAGTGGTTTTTAGAAATTTCAACTTAATATATGAAAATAAGTCAAACAAAATAACCAATGATAATAGTTAAATATGGTTTTTTTTAGGTCACTATTTGTCGATATCAAAATACATCTTACGATTTGTCTTATACAGGGAACAAGTTCGACTAAGCAAAGAAAAATAAAATTGACGTTGCAACTTACAATACACATATAAATCAGTGGGGGAATATATACACTACAGGATTAGTCTACATTGATGAAATATCTCATTTCTATATAATTGTTGTAAAAGGCCTATTTCTACCAAACTATAAAAAATTTCACAACATAAACTTATTCTTTTGCTGCAATTGAATAGAATTGCTCATGGTAACTACACGAGGACCCCATCTTAGTGGGTTCCCAGACGAAAGTTCTAACGCATTTCCTTAAAAGTCATGGCGCAACGACAATCGCGACGCTTTCAGCTGTCTTAAAGAACGAGAACACTGGGACCCGAAAGGATGGCTACAAAAAAGGAAAGTATGTGCGAGTAAGAGCCATGGACAAGTCATGCTCACATAAGCACTTTCAATGTGAAAATGGTACCGGTACGTTGCTCTATCCATCGTGGAATGCTACAGTTTACCATCACACACATACAGGAGCTATCCTTGACTCCATGCTTAAGAACTCGGTACCTGTGATTTCCTGTCGATTAGGGTTTTCAATTTTCATGCATTCATGCTTGTTTCTTTATATTGTTTTTAGGGGACCAGTTTGTACTTTATTCGTTGCTTCGAATGCAAAAGAGAAATCGTTCACATTCTCACTTGGTTTTTTTCCCATTCCACCAACCTAGGGTGATTCTACCGTTTAATGGGCTAATCTTCTTAAGTTTTAGGCAATGTCTTTAATTCTACCCATTAATATTTGATTCCCGTTAACCAAAACAATTTGATTAATAAGCGCAGTGAATTGCACTAATATAATTGCAGGTAATTAGATAGTTTGTTTTTTAGACAGATAAAAAATGCATTTAGTTTTAATTCATGAAAGCTGGATAATTGGATGTCTTTTTTAATTCTTAAAAAAAAAAATCAAATGTTATTTTTATTTTTTTAATTAAAATTTGTGTGCTGTATTGATGTTACTATTTATGTCTTACATAAAACTGTTTAATTAGTTGGACTTCAACTCATCAGTTATGAGTTGTAAATTCAGGACTATTGTGGAACAGCTTACTCAATATAAAACCATGTGAAACCAGGCCAACCAAAATTGAAATGGAGAAAAGAATGTGGAGAAGTCAATTTTAATGTGTGAATTCCAAATCAAGTACCTATTTTATCTATTGTTGAAAAATTAACCGTACGTTCGACTTAGATTAGCGATAAATGAATTAGTTTTCAGGTGAATATTTTATTAATACTTATGATTTGAATTATAAAATCATATTTATTAAAAAAATTAAATTTTATTGTTTCTGTTTAAAGACGATTATCTTTATCTATAAAATAAAATAAAAATCTAATAAAACTTAAAAAAATAATATTTATAAATTATTTTATAATAAATTTAGGAGAAAACATAATACAACTCCTTGTGTGTGTGTAACTAATAATTTCTTATATGCATACAGTAGAGGGAAACTTCCTTCCTCGTGCCTCTATCTAGTTCTTCAGATTATCTCGAGTCTCTAAAGTTTATGGGATTGTTAATTAATTAAGCGGATAACTTCACAACACAATCAAAATGGTTATCGTGATGCAGCAAATAATTGGCTATTCTCTGTTGTTTTCAGGACATAGCGACGGTAGCAAGAATGAAAAGGATCTTGAAGTATAATATTCAAACCCTACAGATAGAAATAAAATAAATAAAAAAGAACGAAAAGAATTTGAGTGTTTCAAAGTGAGAATTTACCTGGTCTACAAAGGGGGCTAAAAATTTATTCAGGATGCATGATTAGATTTCGGGAAAAAGAAAAAATAAAAATAAAAGGGTCAATCTTTCTTCTAGACTTAATCGGGGTATACCAGGGCGGCTTTTTTTTTTTTTTTTTCCTCCTCAGAAAAAAATTGTATACCCTTTCCAAGGGGATGGCTTGGTTGAAATTATCGTAAATACAAGGAGTAAATTAGGAACCCCAATTTTCTTTAGTCAAAGGGCATGCTCTCTCAGATAGACTTTTATACCGGTTCATGTGATGCCAACTTTTAAATTTTCAAAAAATTAAGTCCTATGTCACTTGTCAGATTTTGAACCCCAAAATTTTCTAAAATATTTACCAGTATTTTGTTTCACTAAGTCCTGATTATCAGCTGAAGATTTATTAGTAGACTTCTTCCAAGACCGATCATTTGCCCTTAAGTATCTAGCCTTATAATCAAAGTCATGCCTTGACCAAAACAAGCACCACGCAAGCATTCGTCGAACTGATCAGTATATATACAAGAAGTTTCTACTGGGGGAGCACCGCTCGCATCGTTGTATATATGGTGTAAGAGAGAAAAAAGAGAGAGATAGAGAGATATGGAGGCCGTGGCAAAGATGAGTAGTGGTATTAGTTCTGATAGTTATAATAAGGATGAGGAAGTGACGCTTCCAGGTTTCCGATTTCACCCCACAGATGAAGAGCTTGTTGGGTTCTATCTGAAGCGGAAGGTGGAAAAGAAACCAATTAGTATTGAACTCATCAAACAGATTGATATCTACAAATACGATCCATGGGATCTTCCAAGTAAGATATGCTCTTTAATTTTTACGTGATGTTCATCCATCACCATCACCATCACCATTTATAAGCACAGCTATATATCTACGTCATCATCTTTTATGAGTTTCTTGTTTTAATTAGCTACAGAGACCACACAACTCTTCTTTCAGTTTTCCCTTCTGATCAATCACGTCTGTGCTTGTTGCACAAAACTAGAGCTTTTTTCTTTTGGTCATCCATCCAGAATCAATCTAAAATTTCATGCACTTCTTTATACGTTAACTTGAGATGACATATGGAACTCCTTTATGGTAAGATCATATTTGTATAAGCAGGATTACCGTGTAAGATTAGCAACACATATATACCTAACAAATAGTACTTTAGGTCTGTCAAGCTGCAAAACTTCAACATGATCTCACTGGGTCTGACTTACAGGAAGGTTTTATAGTCAAACAATTAGATATTTTGATATAAATTTGTTTGTCTTTTGAGATATTTGTAGTTCATATATAGAAGGGAAAGAATGTAAAGTATGCTTTTTGCACGGAAATTCAACCCTACTTCAAAAGTTTTCTATTTTTTTTTTTTTTTATATTCTTATGATCATAGAGCAGATCTTAGAGATCATAAAAACCTTGGACTCACTGCAGTTACCCCAAACTGATTCATTGCATGTGTTTCAAAAAAGTTGCTCCTGTAACCATTATCCAGTTCCCCAGAGGGCCGAAAAAGGAAATATGCATTTGAAACATAATCACCTTCTCCATGCTAGCAGATAGGTAGTTGGAAACATTTACGAGTCTAATAAATAGTGAATATAGAGTTCTTGATTCCGATCTCCTCCATATATCTCTTGTTTCTAATGTTTAAAACATAAGTCAGTCCATCTTGAAAAGAAGAAGCAACAAGAATAAAAAACTGCAGCGTAAATAGGTTGCCATGATATTCTAAATCAATTGATACCGGATTTATGGCAGCAACTCGCACCTACTACTCTACCGGATATGATTCATCTTCTTTTAGATAGCAATACATTCTGTTGTAATTGCAAAAAAACAATGATATCAATTGTGGAATGAGCCATGAGGTGAAATTTTGCAAAAAAATACACCACAAGAGAAACTGAGAAGGTGCTTTAATTACAATATCGTATGCTTGTTAGCTCATAATTCTAATACTAATTGCCTTCTGTATTGACGATTACATAAAATGTAATTGAAAGTAAATGGAAGTATCTATACCTTGCTGTTAAATATACTTTCCTCCATAATTAGTATCTGTATTCAGTTTTTAGTGCAGCACTGTGATTTAAATTATATGCATATTTCAATTCACTACATTCTGATAAATTCATTGGCTTTGCCTCTTTAACTTTCTGTTTTCTTTTGCACGTAGAAGTTAGCACTGTAGGGGACAAAGAGTGGTATTTCTTCTGCATAAGAGGGAGAAAGTACAGGAACAGCATAAGGCCTAATAGAGTCACAGGATCTGGATTTTGGAAAGCCACAGGTATTGACAAGTCCATATATTCAGTCAAAGAACCACATGAGTGCATTGGCCTCAAGAAATCCTTGGTCTACTACCGTGGAAGTGCTGGAAAAGGCACAAAAACTGATTGGATGATGCATGAGTTTCGCCTTCCACCAAATGGGAAGTCTACAAACCCCCTCAACCCTAAGAACATTGCACAAGAAGCTGTAAGTTTCTAAAATTAATCCACATTCTTGCTCATCAATATAGTTTTTATAATTATTCTCACCATTTTATGTTGACAAGCGAGAATTCCCCTCAAGATTATGGGAATCCTAATTAACAATTAACCTAGTCATTTATAATTAATTAATGAGATGCACATTCATTCAGCATATATATGCTTACCATGGTATGGATAAAACCTCCTAAGGAAGTTTGAAAAATGGTCAAAGACTAAGGGGATAAATTACAATATTGAAGATCCATGAAATTTAGAGAAAATTATAAATTAGTCCTTTTATTTGGAGAAAGAAATTAATTAGTCTTTCTTATTTTAAAAAAATAATCATTTAGTCCTTATGGTTTTAAATTTATTTGTAACTTAATTCTTTTTTTGTTATTTTTCAATTTATTTTGATTTTTTTTTCAACATATAGAAAAAAAATATGAAAAGATTGATGAGAAAAAATATTTTATAAAATAAAAATAATATTAAATTAAGTATAATCAATAGTGATTAAAAAATTAAATAATAATTTTTTAAACGAAAAGGATTAATTAATCCATTTCTCAAAATCAAAGGAAAAATTTATAATTTGCTCATAAAATTTATTGCAATATATATATATATATATATACACACACACCAACTACATTTATGTTTCTCAAAACATAAAGGTGGTTATATTTATTGCAATGACTCTCTCATCATGTTAAGTACACACGCCATAAATTAACTAAAGAATTATATTCGTCAAATTTTCTTAAATATGATTTTCCTATCATTTTATATTGTTTAAGGTTGTTTTTATAAGTTTAAACATTTAAATTAATCTTTTTTATGCATAAAAAATACTAATCATTCAAGTTCGAGTCTCCATCGTATCCATTGTTGAAATTTTCATGTCATGTGGAATTAATTAATGGGGGATAGCTAGAGCATTTATGATGATATATAGTGGATCGACAACAGACTTAAACTTTCTTTCAAATTTGGTGCTCTTCTTTTTTGGAAGTCGTCAAACTATGGAAGGGACAGTTAAAGCGACCCTGTAATAAATGGGGAAGATCAATCTCTTCAATGATTTGAAATGCATGGTGTATTTATTTCAGTTGCCAAAGAGAGAAAATTCAAAACTCTTAAATTTCTTCATGATCAGTTCACCGTCAACAAAACCAACTCAATGGATTTTTTTCATGGCCATGCAGGAGGTTTGGACACTATGTCGAATTCTGAAACGAATCCCAACCTACAAAAAGTACGTACCAGCAGTACCGGCAATAAAACAAAACCCCATTAGTTATGATTCAAATTCAAAGACATGCAGCTTTGAATCTGATCAAACTAGTTCTGAGCAGTATGTGAGTTTTGGAGACTCGTTCGTTCAACAAAATGAAAGTAAGCCTGTCGTCATAGACCAAGTTGATCATGGAAGGGATCACTTTTTTATGGGTGGTCAATATGATTCAATAACCGAAGCTCCATTTACAGCAGCTTGCCAGAACTTTTGGAATCCCGATATTGGAGATGATTTCTTTGCTAATGGAAACTGGGATGAACTAAGACCAGTGGTTCAGCTAGCCTTCGATCCAACTCAAGTTTACGACTACTGCAGATAGATAGATAAATATAGGTAGCCAAGCAGTTATACACACGCACAGACTATATATATTTCGTTTTGCTTCAGTTTTACCCCCACGTACCTGGTAGCTAGTTATAATATATTTTTCTGTCCTATGATTAGGAATTTAGAAACTCTAATAAGCATGATTGATCAGTATTAACCTTTTGACATTTTCCTTTTTTATGTTTTTCTTCCCTCTCCTTCCCTTCCCTGTCAGTATTAACCTTTTGACATTATGTTTAAGATATTTGTACAATTTTTGTTGGGTGAGATCATATATATATCTGAACTATTGTAATGAGGATGTATGCAGGTTTCCTTTTATTTTTTTCTTGTTGGATGTCATCAATCTATACTAAATTACATGAAAACACTATAAACATACAGGCAAACTCTTTAAGAAATTGGTTTGACTACTATAATTATTTTTTTAATAAAAAATAGGTTTTTTCATTAATTTGACCAAATATAATAGTCTAAAAACACATCAACTGTTCCAAATACATCTGAAAAGAACTATAAAAAAAAAAAATTAAAAATTAAAATAAGATAAAATTAAGGATTTGAAGAAAAATTATAAAAAATATAAAACTAATCATAAAAAAACCCACCTGCTGATGAAAAAAAATCAAACCCACCCAGTAAATGAAGGAGAAGAGCAAGCACTGAATGCTGAGATTCAAAAGTCATGCGCTTCCAGTGCTGTAGATTTAGATGATGGGATAAAAGAGAGCATAACAAAGACGAAGAAAGAGATAGAGTTGGAATTGGCAAATGTACTTAATTAAGTCCATGGATTAGGATGCTGAGATAGTAAAATTAAGCAAAAGAATTCAATGACCAAGACTTGAAGACTAAGGTGGACAGTTTAAAGCAAGAAACTAAGAAGAAAATTGAAAATCTAACGAAGTCATTTGATCTTAAAAACACTATGGAGTTACTGAAGTTGTGTTGGATTGGGTCCTCTTCATATAGATGCCCAAATCCCATGTAAATAAAAAGCAAAAAAGAGCTAATTCAAACAAAAAAGGTAAAAATGGGTCAAGCAAACGACTGATATAAAAGTCACAAGTTTGAACGTTAATTTTACGCAATGCATAAAGCATCAAAAGCAGCAGACACAATTATGCAAAAGAGAGCGGCGGCAGCAGCAGCTATAAAAAGAAAAGGAAGGGAAATGTTACCGTGTAAGAGAGAGACAGAAACTTACTCTTTAACTTTGAAGAGTTGATGAGACGGTGATTTTAAATTAAATTTAGGGAGATCTAACTTTTTATTTATTCATTTATGATTTTAATATTTTGATGTGTATTTTATTATTTGATAAGTAGAAGAATTTAAATAAATTATTAGAGAATGATACAAAATCATTCATATAACTTTACCTAACGACTTAAATTTTTGGATTAAAATATTTTTTTAATATTATATGAGAACGTTGTAGGTTTGTGTAAATTTCAAATTCAAAAAGTTTTCACTTGAAATAGTGTGTTAGAATGTCATGTAAAAATCATTATTGGAACCTTACCCGATAGTTTAAACTTTTGAATGGAGATAGTTCTTCAGACATGAGTTATGATTTCATGATTTTTCTTTGTATTGCTGTTTTTATGTAAAAGTTCACATGTTCTTTATAGCTATGTTTGTATTTATTCTACATTGTGTGTTATCTATTATACATTAATTATTAATATTTGGTTGATACTAATTTTAATTGAAAAAAATAAAACTTATGATTTTAGATTGTATAATACCTTTTGGCATCAAGTTAAAGGCGGCCAAGGCAGGGAAGCATTCGATGTTCAACAAAAAATAAAATTGAGGTTTTAGAACAAAAAATAAAACTAAAACTTTCAACCACTATGAACTCCTCGGAGATAAAGGAGAGATAAAGGAGAAGCACGAGGAGTTGCAAATAGAGATCAAAGCCTTGGAATATGATGGAAGATCAAATGAAAGTTTGAAAAATGATGATCTAAAGAAAGCAAGCTCCAAATAGCATGAATCCCGAGTAAAAATTAATTCGGATGCAAATTGCAACTTCACTTAAAAAATGAGTTTTTTATTCTCATGTCTCCTTTTATTGAGAGGGTATTTATGATTTTGTGGTTGGTTGATTAGTTCGGTAATGTAACACAATTTATAATAGTATGTTAGCAGAGATGTAGAGGATAAAAACTTAAGTATATATAAGCAATTGGATGTAACAAACTGGATATATTGAAATTCGCAAGCAAGTTTTTTCCTTCATTTCTTCTTCTTTTTAATATGGTATCAAAGTTGGTTTTTTTTTCTATTTTGGTTATGAGAAAATTTTTTCTTTGCTACTTAAATCTGTGAGTTTGATCCTTTTTTTTTTTTTTTTTGTAAGATCTTGAGTTTATTTCTCAAGATCCTTATCTTCATTATCTATTTTAGTATCTCATTTTCAAAAATTTTGAATTCAATCTCCGTGATTCGCACATTCTAAATTTTCTCTAGAAAAATCATATTTTCCCTCAAAATCATGGCAAATCAAGCCGAGATTCCTAATTTCTCACACTCTATTATTTTACATAGAGATGTTAATGATCCTTTGTTTCTAAATCCTTTTGATACACCTAATCTAATTCTTGTTACCCATTTATTCCAAGGTCAAAAAGATTACGGTTCATGGATTAAAGCAATGCTAATTATTTTGGAAGCAAAGAGTAAGGATGGTTTTGCTAATGGAAAGTGTTTAAGACCAAGTCCCGATTCACCGGATTTTGCATAATGGAAAAAAAATGTAATGCTTTAGTTCATGCTTGGTTGTTAAATTTTGTTTCGTTTAGTTGTTCAATGGTTTGGTTTATTATCAATATGCTGAAGAAGTATAAAAATATCTCAAAGAAAGATTTGATAAGCAATATGAAGCAAAGATTTTTTCCTTGCACAAGGAAATTAATTCACTAGTTCAAGGATCGGATAGTGTAGCATTTATAACTCGAAATTGTAACTTCTTTGGGATCAATGGGATTCTTTGATTCCTACACTTGCTTATATTTGTCCATATTTCTACGAGTGAGGTTTCATAGCTTTTTGCTGAATATACATTACAACATAAGTCGATGCAGATTCTAGATGGGTCCGAATGACGTTTTTTAACCCTCGAGGTCTCAAGTTCTATTAATGTAGCCTATGTCCACTCATTCCTAAGTATATTTTATGGTTTCTAATAAAGAATCACATAAAGGAATCAATACACATTCGGGAGCTCCTACCGCATTTTATTATATCGGGACTTAGTATCAACCAAAACAATTTCCTAATAAAGGTAATTGGTCACATTATAGAAAAGAAATTATTTATGATTATTGCTATATACCTAGTCATATGAAGGATAAATGTTATAAGTTTCATGGATATTCATATATTACTAGAAGGCCATTTGGGAATAATAGAGGAAGGAAAGGTGGTTCACCTTTGGTAAAAATAATAGGCGAAGTCTTATAACGCACATAATACAAGCTACCTTGGGGAAAACAACAATACACCTACTATGATACATGATATGCATATTAGCAATTCTTTAATAAGCATCAATGGAAAAAATTACAGAGCGTAATTCTATGGGAAACTCAACAAATGTGGCATTCCCTCCATTATTTTCTCAACACCAATACTAGTAAATATTTGACTTATTACAAAGAGGTTTTAGGAGGAATGCTAAAATAATGGAACCTACTACAAACATGGTAGATACATATTTTGTAGCCTTCTTAATGTGGAATCTAATAATGGTAATGACTGGATAGTGGATACGAGGGCTAATGTTCATATGACTAATAGGTTTAGTTGCTTGAATAATCCTACATAATTAGCATCTAATCTTACTATCGAGGTTATCTAATGGCAATATGACTCATGTTACTCACATAGGCTTTGTCATTTTTTCAACGTTTGTCCTTCAAAATGTCTTGTATTTGTTAGGATTAAAATTCAATTTGTTATTAGTGGCTAAATTCATTATTGATAACAATTGTTTAGCATGTTCTTACCCTCGTTTTTTTCTCTTTCAAGACTTCGAATTAGGAGGAAAAAAGGGATTAGTAAAGTTAGAGATGGTATCTACCATGTCCTATCAAATACTTTTTCATTTGTGCCAAATTCATCTCGTTTATTTTCTCTTCTCCGGAATTACCATATACTTCTAGAAATAGCTTTCATATAAGTCATTCTCATAGTTGTTGTAATTCAACCTCTCGTGTTTAGTAAGAAATTTTCAACTCCTTCTAGACTTTTTGTGATACGAGCTACTTGTAAGACAATTTGTCCTCCAAATATAACCCTTTGGCATAAAAGATTTGGTCATGTATCTTTTTCACGATCAAATTACTTTTTGATATTATAATTCCTTTTACTCATCATTTTTAGTGTGAAATTTTACCACTTGTCAAATAAACCAGATTACTCTTTCCTCGTTCCATTTTTAAACTTACATGTGAATATATAGGATTGTATAAACATCCAATCACCGTCAAAAAGGGTTTTTTTTATCAATTGTTGATGATTTTTCTAAAGATATTTAGACATTTCTGCTGTAAAAAAATCTTAAGTCCTCTAATTACTTTAGAATTTCTTTATTTTTATTCATAACTAATTTTCTAGTCATGTTCATAGGGTCGGATCGGATAGAGGTTCTAAATTTTTTCAAAATGCTTATTAAACTCTTTTCTCTTCCTAGGGTATTTTACATGAAACTATCGTTACCTATATTCCATAACAAAATGGGATAGTAGAAAGGAAACATAGGCATATTTTTGATAATATAAGAGTCTTTATGTTTCAATCTCATGTTCCAATTCAATTATAGGGTGATTGTATTTTAACTTTCACATACATCATAAAAAAGACTCCTACACCTCTTTTTAATGGCAAAGCTCCTTTTGAAATTTTATTTCATAAATCTCTTATTTTTACTAATTTTAGAGTTTTTGGTTGCTTGTGTTATACCAAAGTCTCACCTTATCTAGATAAGTTTGCTCCTAGGTCCATAACTTCGTATTTTTTTGAGGTATCCCTCTTCATAAAAATGATACAAAGTCTTAGACTTACCAACTCGGAAAATTTTTATTTCCAAAGATGTCCATTTTTCATTAGAACTTATTTCCATTTCATTCCTCTTTTCCTTCTCCTCTTTTATCTAAGGTTACTAGTACTTTTAGTCCTATTACTCAATGGTTGTATGATGATGATACATCTATTTCTCATGTATCTTCTATTCTATCTATCGTCATATATTCTTTATGACAAATGTTTGCCATTTCTCCTAGTCACACACAACCCTCCTTTTCTTTTTGTCATCTTTTCTTCACCAATCCTACTATTATGATACCTCCTCATCGATCTCGCTAGAGTGTCTAAACCACCCATTTGATCTAAAGATTTTCCCCATCTTCCTTTACATAATTCCAACTCGCATTTTCTTTTTCTTCCGCTTCTAAATATTCTATTAATGTTCTCCTTTTTTATAACTTTATCTCTTCATCTCATGTAGCTTTATCTTCTCTATTTTTTATATTCGTGATCCTACTTCTTATCTCAAGATTGTTAAGAACCCTAAGTGGGTAGATGTTATGAAAAAGAAAACTTAGGCTCTTGAGTTTAACATGACATGGACTTTAATCTATTTGCTAGTTGGTAAACAATCTATAGGGTGTAAATGGATTTATAAAGTGAAGTTTTATTTTGACAGGAGTGTGAAAAGATATAAATTTAGGTTAGTGACTAAGGGTTATATTTAACTAGAGGGCATTGATCGCGATGACACATTTTCTTCTATTGTCAAGATGGCAATTGTTAGGACTATTGTCACCTTGGTCGCCATAAATGATTGGCAATTGCACCAATTGGATGTTACTAATGCATTCTTATAGAGGGATCTTCATAAGGAGATTTACATGTCTTTGCCTCCTGGATTAAGTATGTAGATTGCTTAAATCTCTTTATGGCTCGAAGTAAGCTTTAAGAAAATGGAATTTAAAGTTTACTGAAAAATGACACTTGTTGTCTTTTTTTTTAGTCTAAACATGATTATTTTATGTTCATTAAAATAAAGAATGGAAAGATAGTTGTTGTGATGGTTTATATGGATGACATTTTAATTACGGATGATGACATAGAAGGTATAAATGAGCTGAAAGTTTTTTTGCATAAGACTTTCTATATTAAAGACTTAGGATGTATGAAATACTTTTAAGGAATAGAAGTTGCAAGATCGAAGCAAGAGATATGTCTTAATCAAAGAAAATATATTATGGAGTTGTTACATGATGCATGTATACTTGGTTCAAAACTAATGGAGATGCCACTAGAACATAATCCGAAATTGACTATAGCATAATTTGATGAGTCAATTGTTAATGACATTCAAGACTCAATTTTACCCGATCCTACGGAATATCGGAGATTGGTAGGGAAGCTTATTAAAAGAATCGTCACTAGGCCAAACATATGCTATGTTGTGTAGATTCTAAGCCAATTTATGCATCAACCAAAGACTTCTCATATGAACTCGTACCAAGGGTTCTTAAATATCTTAAGAGAAGTTCAAGCCTTAGAATCTTAATGTCTTTTTCCGGTAAGTTAAAGCTAACATTGTATTGTGATTCGATTGAGCTTCTTATCCTCTAACAAGGAAGTCCTTAACTGGTTTTTATGCGTTTCTTGGTGCTTCTCCATTATCTTAGAAAACAAAAAAGCAAAATAACATTTCTCGATCATTCGCTAAAGTTCGAATATAGAACTATGGCCACAACTATACGTGAGATGGTATGGCTTGTTGGATTGTTACAGGAGCTAGGCATGACGAGTTTGGAAGTAGTAGGAATGAACTCGTGACAACAAAGCTACATTACACGTAGATTTAAATTAGTTTTTCATGAGAGAACTAAACATATTGAGATTGATTGTCACATAGTTAGAGAGAAACTCACAATTAGATTGATCAAGACTACACATGTTAAGATATAAAGCAACTAGCGAGATATCTTCACCAAAGATCTTGGTAGCAAACATTATCAATATCTTCTATTTAAGTTAGGTGTTTATGACATATATAAACCCCCAACTCGAGAGAGAGTATTGATAGGATATTTATGACTTTGTGGTTAATTGGTTAACATAACGGAATTTGTAAGAGCATGTTAGTCGAGATGTAGAGAATAAAAGCTGAAGTGTATATAAGCTATTGGATGTAACAAAGTGGATATACCTGAAATGTGCAACAAACTTTTTCCTTCATTTTTCTATGGATGAAGAAGAAATTTTTTTTGGATTTCTTGATTTTGTTTTGTGATATTTGTTCCTTGTGATGATGAACAAGATGAAAATTGATTTTTGGATTTATTTTTTTGTTTTTTTTCCCCTTAAATCACTTGTCACATTAAATCTATTTTTTAAAAAAAAATTGATAATATATATAAGACTATTAAAAAATAATTATAACTAATTATTTATGTACAATTGTAATTAAAGTTTGGTTTTGACCAAACCAAAATAATCACTTTATTGCCAAAACATATTTCTTTTAGTGGATACTATTCAAATTAATTTTTTTTTGCAATTATGAATATATATGAGTTCGAACAAAAAAATCATCGTGATTGCTTGTAATTTAGCCTATCATTCTATAAGCTTTTTATGACTATCTTTAAAAACTACAAGCAACTGAAGCAAGGATGGAGCGATAGAATTTTTATACAGACCTTGTTCAAGCTGATCGAAACTACATATTTAATTGGTTAATGTGAGAAATCACATTATTATTGATTGTTGCAATGAGTTTTGATAATGGTGATTGGTTTGGTAAATGGAACATATGTCCAAATCCATACAATAATTTCTCACCTATCTCATGTTGAAAATTAATTTGTAAGGTCAACCAGCCGGACTTGATGAATGCAGTTTTCATTTTCTTCTCTTCGTTTTGATAGTGAGCGGGGAAAAAAATATCCCAAACTGATCATTGATATTTAGCTGGGTATTTTCCTAATCCCATTAAATTCTTTATCTCCATTTGCATAAGGTTTGAACCCACGTTTTTAAGTTGAATTTATAATGTGTCTCAAACCCGATTTTCTCATGCCTTCTCTCCATTCTCTTGCTCAAATAATTAAACAAAGACAACCTCCATTGAAAATAGCAAACTTCATTTTACATGAGCAAGTAGGGTTGTTTTGTAAGCTAGCAACGGCGGAAGAATAATAACGTGGAGGTAATGAGTAGTACCAATTTTAATAACACCCGTATTGAAGAAAGAAAAAAGAAAAGAAAAGAAAAAAGATGCCTTTACTTGTTGCTTGTGGGCCTTAAGATTGGTTATGATCGAATGAGCTTTACCGATTGGTAATAAACATTGGCCCATAATAAAGAGTTTCTGGGCCTTTGACTAAATGAAAATAGGCCCTTTTTTATATTTTAAGGGCTCATCACTGCTTTTAATACAAGGCGGGCTTCAGTAACCCAAATCCAAACGGAAGGGAAAAGAAGACCCACAGATTAATTGGGGTTGGTGGAACTTTGAAACTGATATTTTGCTAACGATGGAGGGACAGAGGGAGAGAGTTCCATTCACCGACTTTGGCACCGGATCCCGATGATTTACAACTATAGAATTGCAGTGCCTGCCAACTTTAAGGCTTTTAATGGATAGTTCAACTTAAATCCAAGTGTTTTCTTAGCAAAACTAGCATAGAAACTGCACCTAGTGCAACTAGATGTGCTACGTTTGATGATTTCAGTTGACGAAGGAATATTTGGGTAACAAGACATGGAAATGCAACAAGAACCTAATCAAGCAAGAAAAGATGTCAACATCTTTAAAGAAATTCATTGAACATTCAGAACTAACAAGCTCTTTACAGAAATATCAAAATCATTGTTATGCCCTCAAAAACATTGAAGAATAGCCGGGCTGTATTCTTTAACAGATATACAAAATGTCAATCACAACAATGACGACTCATAAATATATGGTTGGGACAAGAAGGTTCAGATTTCAGAACTATGCTCTCTGTACAAACGTATAATAGATGGGATATTTTGAAGCTCTCAAATACATTCCTGGAAAGCTCTGGCTGTATGCCTGTATCCTTCATTCAAGATACAGGGTCATATAACAAGAATGGAATCCAATCAGCCAGTTGATGGAAGAAATACCACAAAAAATGTCAAGGTTTTACTGTTAATTGACTTAAAAAAAGCATACTAATCCCTACCTTTAAAGATGGCTGTCCGCTGTAGAACATGCAATATTGAATATCAAGGCTGATGATAAGTGTTAGCACCTTGCTCTTGACGATCATTTACAGGTGAGCTAACAACAGGAATATCCAGGCTGCTTCCTTCTGTCTCTGGGGCAACTTCTCTGACATCAGCTATTGTTGACTCCGTTGCCTGAATATCACTCCATTCAGCATCTTCAACCGGCCGGGGGTTGCTTTGATCCACTGCCATGTGCACAGCGCTCTCCCCAGAGGCTGGGACAGCTCTAGAAACACTAAGACAAGCTTTATCCACATTCTCATCTGACAAGTCCACATGCTTAGTAAGGGGAAGAGTGCTACCAACAACATTTGGAGTCTCTGTTTTCTCCTCAAAAACTTGCTTTGTATCTATGTGCTGCCTGTTGAAGGAATAGTATATCAATTTTGTCAATCTTAGCAAGTTTCAGGAAATAATATTTTTTTTTCAAATTCCCCCCTTCATGGGCAGAAAGTGCTGATACATAGCATGCACAATTCATATTTAAGCCAGAAAAGAAAGGATGAGGTGGGTTAGCAGAAGCAGTAAAATGACAAGTTCCAAGAGTTAAAAATACTGATTGATCGGTCTCCTAGAGAAGGCTAACATAAGATGAGTTCAAAAAGTCAAAAATGGAAAATGGTGCAGCAATATTTGCATTGGCTTAAAAGGATCAGACGTCAAACCTTTGAAGTTGTGCCTTTAACATATTTGCATATGCTAGAAGCTCTTCCTTCTCCTTCGCAGTCGCTGCCTCTTTCAGTGCAGCCTCCTTGATTCTAGCTTCAGCATCTGCTTCTGCAACTCTTGCCTTCTCCTCTGCTCTCACAACAGCTCCTTCTAATATCACAGCACGCTCTCTGGCTTTTGCAATCTCAGAACGCCATAAATTTGCCTCCTGAATAGCAGAGTCTCTCTGCTTGATCAGTTGATCTCTTTCCTTACTCAGAGTCACAACCTTTTCTTCAAACTCTTTTAACTACACACAAGCATAAATGAAAACCCACATAAACAAGCTGAAACTGACATCCAAAATTGTACATGAGCTAAATTAGCTCTCAATTGGCAACGATACATTAATCAAACTGCATCTCAGAAGAAAAGGAACATGTTCTTAAAGAGGGATTTGCTTTTGCTAACACATCCCATATACATTGGTTAAATTAGCTCTCAATTGGCAACGATACATTAATCAAACTGCATCTCAGAAGAAAAAGAATATGTTCTTGAAGAGGAACTTGCTTTTGCTAACACATCCAATATAGTTTACATATATATAGCCATTGGACTGCAGGATGAACCATCGAGAAAGAAGAGATTACTGGTACCTTCAACATGGACGACTGCAGCTGCTTTTCTGAAGCTTTTGATAACCGCTCAATCTCAGCACAAGCAATTCTTCTTTGTTCGTCCATAGTATGGGCAGCAGCTGCAGCAGCCTCAGCAGCTTCAGCTGTCTCGGATAGTTTCTCAGCTATGTCTCTTATCGTTGAATCACGAGCACGAAGATCTCGAGCCAGATTCTGTAATTCCTCATCCTTGACTTTCAGTGTCTCCTGTAAAATATTCTTGCCTTAAAAACCAAGTCCATGTGGAATGAATAGCCAAATAAACTTAATGTTAGCATCAAGAAGCCACAGGTTAGAAACATGCCAACCATGGTAATTATATATAGTGCATGGATGATTAGTTGATTCTCAAAAGAAAAAGACATTTAGTTGGGTTCTATGCACAAATTTCCTGTAAGACCCCAGCAAAGCCAGGCACTTTGACTCTTGTAGAAAATTTAGTATATATCATTCCTAACATGAAATTTGTGCAACACTCAACAATGTTGGGGTAAAAACAACTTCTTGTCTGAAGGAGTAGGCAAGTGTAAAAACAGCAAGCTGTTTAGCAAGTACAAAGGTGCAAAATTCCCAAACACAAGCTTATGCACACATGCTCTGCACTGATAAATACATCCTCTTCATTCATTTGCTTAGGCTCAAAGCGCATAGCTCAGTATTTATAGTCACTAGAGGGTAAAGGGCATGCAAATTGACATGTCTTCTAAAAGTAAACATCAGGTGGCAAACAGGGCAATGGGGCGCTATAGCCTTAAGTTCCAAAAATAACAAAAGGCAACCAATTTTGAATATCTATAAAGCATACTGGGTATGTTTCGCTAAAACCGGACAAAAATTCTGATATAGCAACAAAAGAACAAACCAAAACCAGATAGAAATTTTGGAAATTAGACACCTTCATGATTGTCAGGTCATCCATCGCAACATCAGTTGTCCTATTATTCATCATTCCTAAAGCATTTCTCAAAGAAATCTGCATTGCTGCTTCAATTTCTTTAGAGCATTCCAATGCTGTTGAATTGGCAGCAGCAACTACAGCAGCAACTGTTCCTAATTTTGCAGAACCATTTCCACTTAAGGAATCTACAGCCTCTTTATGAGCCTTTAGAACCAACTGAGTAGCACTGGTTATCAGATAGCCAAAACAAATAATTAAGAAAAGAAAAAACTGCAAGTAATGTAAATTTCAACATCAATCTGAATAAAGTAAGAAGAACAAAAAAAGAAACTCATATATAAATTAGTTACTTAACATCATTAACAAAAACATAGATCAACTAAAGAAATAATTGCAGATAGAGAAAGGAACCTAAAATGAAGAAAAATAGGTGCTGTTAGATTCACATGCTTTAGAGAAACTTGCCTCTTAGGTTCTACATCTTTCAATTATGTTGCCAGTGTTGGGGAGAAATGTTTTAAGCCTATTGTTTAACTTTTGGGGCAGCTCTTGAGCAATCAAAGTCACGACAGGGAATCACTTCAATATACAGCCTATGGTATATACTTTCAAGGAGAAACACAAATTTGAAAGTTACTCCAATGTCACAGAGGACCAAACAAATCATCTGCAAGATTATCAATGCTAGCAGGAGTAGGCTACAAGAGTTCCTTATTTCTACCCAATCCAAGACCATATGAGCCATAAGATTCTAAAATAGTATTTTCTTTCCCTCACTGCTTCAAGGCACACCGTATGTTTGCCATTTTTGGCCTCTTTCACCCTTGCACTTTTTATCCAATATATCTACATGAAACCTCAGACAGATTCACATTTTGAAACCATCTTAAATGATTTATTCACAAATATATATTTCACTGCCATCACCTTCACTTTTCTCTTGAACATGCTCCTTTAATATATTTATCTTTTCTTGGAAGGTCTAACAAATACAATAAATGGTCATCTCCAAGATGTTACAGTTATTCAAACAAATGGTATACTGTTGGGGAAAACAAATGATTTAAGCAGTGTACAATTAATTCCAAGTTCTCTAGCCAAAATAAGGCTCATGAAGATTTTGTTCACAATATAGATCATCTTCATGGAAAAGGGGTAAAAAACCTTCACAAGTGGAAGTTCATAAAGACTCCTAAAATACAGTGATCACATAAACCTTGGACATAGACCAACAGGATCCTATTGCTCCCTGGATTTTTAGAGCAACATTATATCAAACTTCAAATGAATAAGCAACAAATCTACGCCAAAAAAAAAAAAAAAAATCTATAATCACAAAATATATATATGAAACAGAAAATATCCTTCGGCTCATTAAAAATCCATATTGCAAAGCCAAAACTTACTGTAAAGTTGCTACCCAAGCTCTAGCTGCACCAGGAGTCTCTGCACAAAGGAAGTAATCTTTTTTCTGTGGAGTACCAATATCTAAGTCATAGTTAAGCATGCAACTTCATCAAATTGCAATTCACCTACAATGCTTTCAACTGACGAAAAGAAGAACAAGTTCAAGCAGAGTAGGTAACTAAGGATACAAATACAGCAGCCATCGTACTTTGGGAGTCCACTAAATCACACACACAAAAAAAAAAAAAAAAGTGTTAATAATCATTCAAACTAAGTAATAGCAAAACAAATCTCTGAAAATGAGCAAAGAAGCCTTATTAAATATACGCATATTTCACCAATCTTACTTGAAGTTCACAGGAGAAACTGTGATCGTGCTATTTGCATCGAACACAATCGATCCTTTCACAGCTGGCTCATTCCTCCTCGTCCTAAAGCACGCGAAAACCAGCATAAGTTGAAGGTTAAAACATCCCTAAAGTAACAAGACAAGCAAAAAGTGAAAAAAGTGCAACATTTACTCACTTGTATTCCATTTTACCAGTCGTCGGGTCTAAGATCACCCATCGCTCATTCCATTTCCTCAGCTAATAATGCAAAATAGAAGCAAACTAATTAATGCCTCGGCAACTGCTAAAGAACAAAAAAAAATGCCACAAATACAATAACTTTTATAATTCAACAACCAGAGAATTGAGTAACAGCTATAAGATACTATTAAGAAAAATCTGAAATTAGAGAAATTGAAAGGGGAATTGCCGTACAGTTTCAGATCGCTTAAGGAGTGGGCCCTGCAATAAGTTCCTACCAGAACCGGACGCTAATTGCCGCTTGATCTTCTCCAAACTATTCTCTGCGGCCACTGCAGCTCTTTGCTGTTGCTACAATTAATCGTAATTACTTATCAACGTCATCATTGGTCGAGTCAAAACACAGTAAAACACTTGTCATGAATTTAATTTATTTAGATTAAAATGAGAGAGATGGACTGACCGTAGAAGCTCCATTGGAGGCCATGGTGGTATTATAGATCAACGATTAGCGGCAAGAAACGGAAAAATAGAAAAGAAATGTTCGTTTTGGTTTTGGTTAAGGTTTGGTGCTTTGGAGAAATGGGTTTTTGCGATGTTTAGAATAGAAGACACCTCGGAAATGAAAATAATAGCAATAAAATATTTTTGAAGAGGGCTGTTAGGTTTGTCTCATGGTCATGGACTTGCAGGTGACGCTTTTGCTGTTCTTTTTTTTTTTTTTTAAGGAAAAAAAAAAAAGAAAAGAAAAAGGAATGGTTTAAAGTATGTTTGGATCTTGTGTTAGGGCATTAAACAGAAACTGTCACCGCCTATGTTGTGATATTAATTATTAAATGTAAATTATTTGGTTATGAACTAATATGTTGTATTGGGATTAAAATTGTTTTTGGAAATTTATTTTTTTATTTTAATTACAATTATTATTAAGTACATAAATTAAATTTAATAATTTTTAGGATATATAAAAAAATTGCTTGAAAACATGAATTTCTTCATTAATAAAAGGAAAATAAAAACAAGAATTAAATATTGCGTAATTTTTTTAAAAAAATAAATAGGAATATTATAATTAATGATTATTTTTATTGAGACAGGAAATCTATTAAATAATATGAGTAAAAACAGGAAGAAATTAGAATTAACACATTAGGTGATTTTTTTTAAAGAGTAAATACAAAATCATTTGGGTTAATCACGTAAACTTAAACTTTTCGAGTTATTAGATAAAGTGCTTTTGAATCTAACTATCACTTTAGTTATTCTTTTTGTTTCCAGAATTACTTTGAACTTTCCTCAAAAAAAAAAAACAATAATTATTTTTAAATTGAATTACTGAGTTATTATAGATTGAAAGTTGAATAACAACGGAGCCTATTAATAATTTTAATTTTTTTTTTGGTTGCAGTGCTTAAATCAATTGTTTAAATCCTTATATGACAATGGTGGATTGAGCGGTGGAATGATATGAATTTAACCATGTTATATTTGCGTTTAAGCTCTCTCTGCCATAGCCACGAGGAAAAAAAAACTCTCTTTCCCTCTTTTCGTAGACTACCAAACAGATGCATAGAACTCATGGTACGCCCCTTTGTAGTTTATATATATATATAAAAAACAGAGATGGCAATGCAAGTCTATGAATGCGAAGAATGCATCTTCGGCCTCCGCTTCCATGGAGGAGCAAGTTTTAGTCTTTCCTGCTATTCTTTTTCATAGGAAGCGGACTTCCATTGGAAGTCTACATTTTTTTTTCTTGACAAATTCCATTAAATAAAGTATATAGAACGAGAAAAAATTAAAAAAATTAATCTTTATCAAACAAAGTTAATCGAGTTAATCTTAGGCCTAAGAAAAAAAAACTCGACAAATTATTGTAGATGTATATTGAAAAAATTGTAAATATAATAAATTATTTATATATAAATTTTGATATGGCAATCTTCATATAGTCGAAAGATACTCTATCCACTTTCATAACCAAATAAATCAAGTATTTTTTATCCGTCTTCATTTCTATTTTATTAGAAGTAAAAATCCCTCCGTACTTTCGATTTGAATAAATAAAAGCAGATTTTCACCAAAGCGGGTGCCATCTCTGTCATCAAACAAGAGCTTGAGCGTGTGCCCATGAAAACTCCACTAATATTCCAATTAAGTTGGATTAATTCTTCATCCTGAAGATAACACAAAAATAACTTGACAAGTTTTAATAAGAAATCTAATTAAAAGAAAGATTGTGTAGATAGACAGTCTAATTAATTAGGTCATTGAGCTGAGATACATATACTTTTATTTTTTATCATTTTCTATAAATGTTATATTTTTGTCAATTTAATTGATTTATCCCATCGTGTTATTTTAGGTTTTATGTGGTACAAAATACTCTATTTAACAAAATTATTTAAAACTTATTTTAAAAATAAAAATTAATTTGTTTCATACATACATTAATTTGTTTTTAGAGTGAAATTGAAAATTTAGTATGCTACCTCAAACTCTAGATAGCACGTGCTGATCACAATACGTAGAGTTGCCGTCATCGGATAAAAGATTACCGTACTACAATTTGAGTCTCGACTCTTTCGCAAAAGAGAGATGACAGGCGTGTGTTTGACACGAACACCGACAAAAGACTATCATCCTACAATTAGAAAAAAAAAAAAAAACTAAAACCATTTATTATTATTTATTATACCATCTGAAACATTATTCAATAGATTCATATGTATTATTCATCCAAGTTAGGATATATTATTCTCTCATTATACAGTAATATTTTTATAGTTTTTAAATATTTTTAAGATATTTATTATGAAACATTACACTTTAATATTTCTTTTTTAAATATTATTTAGTTATTTTGGTCCTTGTTTTTTTAATTAAAAATTTTAATGTAAAAAGATGTTTAGAAAAAAATAATTTACAAAAATAAGGTTTTAGCTAAAAATATGGATAGAGATAAATAAATAATAGTTTTTAATAAAAAATTAGAAAAATATAAAAAATAATTAATTAAATATAAAATTTTGATTAAAAATGATAAAATTAAATAAATTTTTATTCAGTTTTAATTTAATACATTATAAAAAATACTAAAATAAAATAATTTTTTAAAAATAATTTTATATATTTTATATGCGACGGATGAAAAAACTAGTTTGGTTCTAAACTCTTTGGCAAAAGAAGGAGGTGACTTTGCACGAGGGCCAAACTCTTATACACATAAAAACTCGCCTCATCTGTAATATAACAAATGATTTTGACGTAGAAGTTAGAACAGTAGAAGAAATTGCCTCCCACACCTACTCTAGCGCCACTATCGTGGAGCAAAGCACTTTGCCTCTCGCGAAAAACGTAGAACAGCGTTAGTTTAGTCAGGAGAGTTTTTCAAGATACTTTTGTGGATTGCTGAGGGTGAATTGCCAAAAAAAAAAAAATACTGCTTGATGAAAATATGGACTGATCTAATTATGTTACTCCATAAAGGTTTAATTTACTATTTTTGCTGTAAATAAAGATTTAGTTTACTGCAGCAACCAGTAATAATACAGATAAAACTACACCAATTAATTAGACCCGTTTTGGTTTAAATAAACATAGTTAGTGTATTTATTTTCCAAAATAAAAATTCCGTGAATTGATCTTAACCTTCCATTGCAATTTGCAAGAGGATCTTGATGGCTGAATTGGAGACGTCACTGACTTGACGACTGCAGGTCATGTCTTATCCAATGGTGTGATTAAAGGCCAGTTTTGGCTTTGCTGGATTTTGCATCATTTTAGTGGCGTCGCTGCTTTCCCTCCTCGATCGTGTTGCGTACACTCCTATAATGTTGAGTTAATTATAACTTCGTCCATATAGTTTAATAAAATTAATTAGTTAGTCCTTAATTTTTGAGACTTATATGTTCAATCCTTATATGTTAAAATTTATCATAACTTGATCCCTTTATCAATTCTATTAGTTGTCACAAATTTAGAACTTTTTATTTCTAAAATACCTTCCTTTTCTAGCTAAATTTTCCAATTTTGTTATGACGTTATAAAATTGTCTTTTATTTTTTCCTTCAACTTTTGAATATTTTGACATGAAACCTACAATCACAAACCACAATACTATGTTCTCCATCATAACATATGTCAGTACAAAAAACTAAATACAATAATTGAAAAATAGAAAAAAAAAGAGTTGTCTTGAAAATAAGAATCAAAACAAACGAGAGAAATCCAAATAAAAAAGAATTCAAATACTTCTTAATGTTTCATAAAAAATAAATAAATAGAAGAGATACAATCATAGTCTTAAATTACTAGTTATTGTATATTATTCAAAAGAGCTATGAAATTAAATTTATTAAAAAAAATTAAAAAGATAAAAGAATTTTGAAATAATTAATAGGATTATTGAATTTGGAGGAAAACATTATAAAAATAATAGAAAAAAATATAAAACTCTAGATTTCACTAGCATATAATCGGCAGTCTTGAATAGTCAATTAATTAGAGAATAAAAGATAGAGTGTGAATAACGTTGTTAACCATATGTTCTATCACACAGGTAGAAGAATTAACAATTTTTATTTTATTTTATTTTAAAGAATACTAAGCTTCCCCCTCCACTTTCATAATAAAAAATAAAAAATATTAATAATACTAAAAGACTTGAGAAATTATTGTTCAAAATCTATGCATTTACTCTTCATTCTCTCTCATTTTACTATTCAATAACTTTTTTATTGTATCTAAAATCACTATTCATTCAATGTGTAATTACACTATTTGTTTAAAAATATGCATCTTAGTCTCTCTTTTTTTAACATTATTTTTTTAATCTGTAAGTTTATTTTTCATTCATGTTGGTCCATGCAACCAATAGGAGAGAGAAAAGCGTGAAAGAAGGGAGGAGAGAGAGGGAGAGAGACGACAAAGGATATTTCGACCACTATACAACCATAATTTTCATTAAATTGAAACCTTTAATGAAAAAATTATTAAATTTTAAAATAATTTTGTTTTGTCCAATATACAACATAGTGTGATTAATCAATTAATTATTACTAAATTTAGAAAGTGAACTTTAGTAACAGGATTAACATATGGTTTTTCAAAACATAGGGACTAATAAACTAGTTTTGTTTAACAACAAGACAAGATTATAATTTACTCATCAATTATCCGTCCATCCTTTTAGAACTTAGAAGGCAATGACAACGTATTGTCGCCGCGAAATCTCCTCCTATATGTCTTGCATTTTGAAACTCCAGCCGATAAGTACAATAACGATTAACTTGACACGTCATATAAAATCCACTGTCCTCACGTTTCAGAATTCTCTATCCAGATAGACCAAGAAATTGTCTTCGTTCTTCTTTCGAAATTATGATATTTATTAATTATTTTTATACGAAATTATATATATTTTGAGAAAGTCAAGTATAACATCTAACAACCTTATAATTCTTGGAAAAAATAATGTATAAAGATAAAATGGAACTTATAAATTATTTTTTAAATATTTTTATAAAGAATGAAATGAATTTCTTAATATACATAATATTTTTTCCATCTAAGAATAATCCTAACTTCCACGTCTATAAAACAAACAAACAAAACCCAACCATCCGATAACAATCCACCACGTGGGCAAAACATCATCAACCTCTTCCTTAAATCAGAAAATCGAACTCAAGAGTGTACTCTTCTAGTTTTAAAGTACAAACCAGAAAAATTGATAGAAAACAATGGGTAAAGAAAACAAGACATCGGAGACAGCAGGCGAGTTCAAGCTACGCGGTTTCTCCAACTTTGTTCGAACAAACCCACGGTCTGATCGGTTCAAAGTAAACCGTTTCCACCACATAGAATTCTGGTGCACGGACGCAACTAACGCGGCACGCCGTTTCTCATGGGGGCTCGGCATGCCCATCGTCGCCAAATCCGACCTCTCCACCGGAAACGCCACACATGCCTCTTACCTACTCCGCTCCGGCGACTTAAACTTCCTCTTCACTGCCCCTTATTCTCCATCCATCGCCTCGATGGACAACTTCTCTCACACCGCTACCGCCTCTATCCCCACCTTCAACCACGAAACCTGCCGCAACTTCTCCGCCAGACACGGGCTCGCAGTCCGTGCCATCGCCATAGAAGTTGACGACGCCGAGCTAGCTTTCACCACCAGCGTCGCCAACGGCGCCAAGCCTTCAGCCTCTCCAATCCTCCTCGAAAATCGTGCCGTTGTCGCCGAGGTTCACCTCTACGGCGACGTTGTTTTAAGATACGTATGCTACAGAAATTCTGATAACGACGATTGTAGCCCTGACAACTGGTTTTTGCCTAAATTCGAAGCAGTGGAGGCAGCATGTTCGTTTCCGTTGGATTATGGGATCAGGAAATTAGACCATGCGGTTGGAAACGTGCCGGAACTGTCTCCGGCGGTGAATTACGTTAAGGAATTCACCGGTTTTCATGAATTTGCGGAGTTCACAGCGGAGGATGTTGGGACTAGCGAAAGTGGATTGAATTCTGTTGTTTTGGCTAATAACGAAGAGATGGTGCTGTTGCCAATGAATGAGCCGGTTTTTGGGACTAAAAGGAAGAGTCAGATACAGACTTATTTGGAGCATAATGAAGGGCCTGGAGTACAACATTTGGCGCTTGCGAGTGAGGATATTTTCAGGACTTTGAGGGAGATGAGGAAGAGGAGTGCAGTTGGGGGATTTGATTTTATGCCTTCGCCACCGCCCACTTATTATAAGAAGTTGAAGAGTAGAGCTGGGGATGTGTTGAGCGATGAGCAGATTAAGGAGTGTGAGGAATTGGGGATTTTGGTTGATCGAGATGACCAGGGTACTTTGCTTCAGATTTTCACCAAGCCTATTGGTGATAGGTATATCCAAAACTTCTTTGATGGACTGAATTTATTGCTTTATAGGATGGATGGTTTTCATATTATCTTATTAAGTTTTCTTTGATTTTATGGGATCACTAATTGTTTCTCTTTTGTTAATAATGTTGGAAATTTAATGTTAACGGGCCATCTTAAAGCTAAGTTAATTTTTGGGATCATGAATCAGAGTTAGGCCTTTGGCTAGGAAGATATGAGGGGATTTACTTACTGTTGTGTTTTTGGCAGGCCAACTATCTTTATAGAGATAATTCAGAGAGTGGGGTGCATGCTCAAGGATGACAAGGGCAAGGAATACCAGAAAGGTGGATGTGGAGGATTCGGGAAGGGAAATTTTTCAGAGCTCTTTAAATCGATTGAGGAATATGAGAAGACACTTGAAGCCAAAAGAATTCCAGAAACAACTTCAGCATGAGAAGCTTCCTTCCCCTCATGGCCTGCTCCGTCTGGTCAACTCTGTGCATGAGAATTGATTGATGAAGTCAGGTTGGTTATGCTAGCACCACTAGTGCAACTAAGATAATGTTGTGGACAATAAGTTTTTGTGATTATTGCTTATGACAAACTTGTTTGTTAATGTGCAATAAGTTTGTTGAATCATGCAATCACAACGTAAATTGTTGGCATGTTGGTGAACTGTGGGAATAAGTCAGGACCATCACCATACTGTAAGTTACTGTAAGCTGATAATTAAGTATTCTGAACTTCAAATTTATGTTGCTGTTTTCTTTAATATTTATTTATTTCTGACGCGCGTTGAGCAATTGTAGCTTAGAAATTGGAATATCCATTGCATTAATATCAGACGACCTGTGTTTGTTAGTCATTCCCTTCATGAGCTCTATCGAGTCATCTTCTCTTTAATCCTAACAAGAAAACAAATTAAGAAGCAAAAACATTCGTCGGCTTTGCTTTGGTTTGCAATGAAGTAATAACAGAGATAAACTCTATTGACAACTTCTTGATTAGGCTGAAACAGAACATGGCAGACGGTATTTGTGTTTTCATAGATATGTCAACGCTCTTTAATCGTTAGTGTGATGAGTTTGCAAAGATTGGTCTTATATTGGATGAATTGAGGCTCTGTTTGGAAGATTTTTCAATGATGTTGTGTTATTATTGTGCATTCAATTCTGCCGTTTTTACAAGAAACAAATATAAGCCAGAAATTGGAATCCTGTCAAGACTATTTGTTAGAGACTAGTATAAATTATATTCTAAGGCCTCACCTATCAACTTAAGCTTTTAGGTGAGATGGTTTTTTAATACTATTATTTGAATCAAATTAACGGAAATCATGTGCCAAAACTGTAGACTCCAGAATAATCTTATATCCCAAAAATGCTAATAATGATACGCTTAATTTTGTATTCCAATGTTAAATAATAATTGGAAATCATTCAATGGGATAGTAATTCTTTCTACTCCGCAATTTGACCGTGTCTTGTATGTTCATTTCAATTTTCAACACAATTTTGTTGAAAACTTCTGTCGGGTTCGTGTAAAACCATGACCAGTCTATAGTATAAAGTGGAAGAACTATCAGCTTTCTCAATTGTATGGTGGAAGCATGCCATTGGAGTCCACATTTGGCCATGAGCTGTTAGTTTGGCGGTATCTTCAGAACTTTTCCAGCTCTGTCATTGTGATCAAATAATACAACTCGTTAAGTAAATTTCTTCTGACCACCTCGTTAGCAATTACCTAGGCATGTGTGCCCCGGCGATGAAATTTAAATGTCCATCTTCCTTCACAAAAAAACATTACCATTTCTTCACGGGCAGGAGTTCGAAAATTTCTAGCACATGGAGACCAGAGCAATTAAAAGGCAATCAGCAGCCGTGGAAAAAAATAAAAGCTAAAAAAAACCATAGTCTAGTTGCATCAGCAACCCGAGCTAGCTACCCTACACTAACTAATGAGTTCAAGCTAGTGGGTTTTTCTAACATAATGCGAACCAACCCCCAATCCGACCTATTCAAGGTGAAGCGGTTCCACCACGTGGAGTTCTTGTGCGTTGATGCAACCAAGCATGCCGTTTCTCATGGGGACTTGGCATGGCAATTGTCGCCAAATCAGATCTCTCCACCAGCGATCTAATTCATGCCTCTTATCCCCTTCGCTGAGGCGACCGCTGCTTCCTCTTTACTGCTCCCTACTCTCCCTCCATTGCCAGCAATGACAACTTATCACACAACACCATTGCCTCTATCCCTACATTTAACCACAAAAATTGCAGTGACTTTTCTGCAAAACATGGGCTTGCCGTTCGAGCCATTGTGATTGAAGTTGAAAATGCAGATATTGCTTTCAATACCAGCATGGCTTGTAGCGTCAAACCGTCAACCGAACCAATAGTCTTGGATACTTATGTTGTGCTTTCCGAAGTATATCTATATGGTGATGTTGTTTTGAGATACATAAGTTACAAGAACAATTATCTTGAAGACCATAATTGTGGTCCCAATTCATGGTTTCGACCTAAATTCTAGCCAATGGAAGGACCACCTTTGTTTCCACTGGATTATGGACTTAGAAGATTAGACAATGAAGTGGGAAATGTACAAGAATTGGCCTAAGCAGTCTTTTACATTAAGGAATTTACTGGTTTCCATGAGTTCGCACAGTTTACAGCGAAGGATGTAGATGCCAATGAGAGTGTATTGAACGCAGTAATATTAGCGAATAACAAAGTAATGGTATTGCTTGCCACGAACGAGCAATTGTTTGGGAGTAGGAGGAGGAGTCAGGTGCAGATTTATTTGGAGTACAATAAAGGGGCTGGAGTGCAGCTTTCGGCGCTAGCGTCTGAAGATATATTCAGGACATTAAGGGAGATGAGGAAGAGGAGTTGTATTGGAGAGTTCGAGTTTATGCCTTCTCCACCATCAACTTATTATAAGAATCTGAAGAATAGAGCGGGAGATGTGTTGAGTGATCGGCATTAAGGAGTGTGAGGGACTGGGGATTTTGGTGGATGAGGATGATCAGGGAACTTTGTTTAAAATTTCATTAAGCCTGTTGGTGACAGGTATTTGCAGTACTTTTGCTGATTTTATCTGAATGCCTTAGAATTGTCAAGTGTGTAGATCTTATTAAACTGTGTGGTCCTACTCTTGGATTTTGGCAGGCCAACCACATTTATAGAGGTGAATAGGCTGCATGCTCAAGGATGAAGACAGGTAAAGAATACCGAAAGAGTGGATGTGGAGGATTTGGGAAGGGAAATTTCTAAGAGCTCTTCAAGTCTATTGAAGCATACTAGAAGACCCTGGAATCAAAACGAACTGCAGAAACAGCTCCAGCACGATTCCTATTTCCTGCTCCTCTTCTGCCAAGATCCCAAGTAACCTCAATAAAATTGGCCAAGCCAGATTGATTATGCTACCCTTTAACCATGAAAGTGAGACAAATCACGCACGACAAGTCTTGTAGCTGTTACTTATGGAAAATGAACTTCTTAATCTGCTATAAGCTAATTGAATTATGGAATGACAACGTAAATTGTTGAATGCTAGTTGGCAACGTAAATTGCCTTTCAACTCCGAGTCAGGTCATATTTCGAACTAAAAATTTTATGCTGCAGTTTTTTTTCCCCGAGCCAGAAGTCGTCTTTCACCACAATCACTGCTATTTCTGGAATTTGTTTTCTGTCAAAGCAGTTCCCTTTAATATCTTAGACATGTTCCAACTTTTTCGTTAAGATACTCATATATATATATATATACACGCCATAGAATTCATTCAAATCACACGAATCTAACTACCTTGCTTTTTTTCCGAATTACCTTCACCATAGCCCTTTCAATCACCAATCATCACACTGTAACTCTATCTAACACATCAAAGAAAATTTGACTTCAGATCCTTAAATAAATAAGCCGAGACTATTTGATTTGTTCTGTCAGTGAGATGAAAGGCGTCCCAAAATATATATTTGTTTGCATCTGTGCATGTTAGTGGATGGTCTCGAGTACACAGAATTCCCATCTCAAATGATCCTGAGCCACAGCATCCTACTTCCGCATTCTCGAATCCTGCCATGAAAACACAGCATTAGTTGACTTAAAAAAGAGTGTTCCCCGAATGGGGAGGAGGAGGAGGAGGAGGAGGAGGAGGAGAAGGGGAATAAATCATTGAAATCTCAATTCAAAATCACATAATTTTGGGTTTTTTTTTCCCTGATGTAACAGTCGGTAGTAACTGAACTAGTTAAATCAGTTTATGAGAATAAACATGAGCGGATAACTCCGGGTTTTTGGCGAATTACTTCTGCAATGGATAAAAGAGCCCTGCCTACTAATACGAAGCTCTCAGCTTTCCAGGGCTATATTTCAGCAGAAAAGGGCCCAGGGACTTTCCTGGATCAGGAATATAAGAACTACCCTGTGACTGCATCTTTCGATGTTTATAAATTCAGTAAATGGTCTTTAATATCTGGATGATCTGGGGCAGATATTTACAGTATTTCATCAGAGCGCATACGCAGGAAAACAATTTGTTATTTTCACATTTGTTTAAACGGTTTTATCAAGAATGATAAACTTTGACTCAACTAAGTTTCTGTAAACACTAACTGATCTAGAATTGGAAGATATTAGGACCGGAGAATGCCTCAATGTTTATGTTCTATAGAAAAATTGAAAGAGGAAGAATTGAGATAACATTATCTAGAAAGATCAAGGAAAGGATAAAAGGAATGCAAGAAGTTTAGTGTGTCATCAATAGCAAGAGAATGGCAAATACTGACCAACTAAAAAAATCAAACTTACCATACAGAGAGGGTGCTGTGATGAGTCGCAGCAATAAGTCGTACGGATTTGCAAACAGCACTTTCATTCCAGGAAGTTCACCATTCAGCTTTGCCACCAAACTGTTCAACTTTCCATTAAATTCTAAAGCAAGATCGTTGTATTCCTTCACACAATTGTTTGGATGCATGAAATTTGTAGCTCTCTCCAATGGCAAACACCCCATTGGAGAAAGCCCAGTAAGGGATAATTTCCGAGCTCCAAGACCAAACAGTTGCTTTACAAAATTCTCAGCAAGTCCGATCAGGAAATCCTGGTATTGTTGGATGGTGAATTGTGATCGTCGGGCAGGGATTGCGTAGTAATTTTCCAAGAAATCATTCGTTCCTAAGCTCATTATATATAAAGCCTCTGTTATTATTTCCTTTGCTTTCACGGCACCAATATAGGCTTTCAGTATCTTTTGGTAATCCTTGTAGTGCTCAAGCTCTTGCCATAAAGGAATCACTCCCTGCAATGTCAACATTGGCAGTAATATATAGGTGACCATTAGCAAAAAAAAATAATTATCTATAGTTATCACATTTTTGCTTAGAAAATGAAATTTAGCACAGAATCGACAGTTTGGAATGACAGGAAGAAGGTATATGAGTTCGTGGAATCTAGCATGTCTTAGAATCAAAATGAAATATTTTTTGGATGGAATGCTTACTAGCACATCTGCAGTGGCATTGTCATAGCCACTTCCAGCAGAAGCAAAGCAAACTCCAGTAGCAAAATCTGATATGTTATACATTGGATCCAAATAGGCAGGAATAGTTGGCTTGAGGCCAAAAGCCTCGGAGAGAAAGTCAGGAGGTAGGCGGCCATTGCAGAATCGTCCAGTGGCACCACCCCCTGGAAAATCACGGCCGTAAGGTGCAAAATTGCCCTTCGCAATTGTGGAAATAAAATTGTTGTTCCCTGAATCCACTGATGAGTCCCCGAACACTATGATGGCTGGAACTTTTGCTCTACATTCAGGAACTGGTAGCATTAAGATTTGTAATAAGAAGAGAAGCCCTGTGATACACATGTATGCCATGACGGTTTGAATGTGTTAGTAGCTTGAAACAAACCAAACATAAAGCATAGGGAAACAGGCTTGCAAATTAATATAATGGTGCCAGAAGAGAGGAAAATTTGACGTGGGGATTGAAGTTTGGTGGGAGAATTAATATAAAGAGTAATGAGAGCACGATGCACCTATGTTTTAATATCTTACTGGAAACCGGAATCTTTTTTCAGAGAACTAGGAATTTGCCGAAGAAATAAATGAAGGCAAAAAAAAGGGAAGGACCGGGTAGGACCGTAAAATAAAGTTGAGAAAAAGAGAGTAATTGTAACTGTACGACTCCCATTTCAAGGGGCTGGCGAGCCTGGCATTACATTAGTACCATTTAATTGCCTTAGAACGGAAGGACAGTTGCCAAAGCACAGGACATACAGTTCCAACCTCCAATACTTTGGATCTCCAAATGAATTGGGCTTTAATTGCTGGGACATTTACTATTTCATGCAGAGTTAGGAAGATGTCCCCTCGACATGTGGGCTCTCTCAATTATTTGCATGCAAAATAAATACTGTTGCCATTTTTCTTTTTAAGCGAACCGTTTAGTTACAGAGTGGCTAAACCCAGTTACAGCTGATAAATCTATCACCACAAACAATAATAAAAAAAAAATTCTTTCCTGTCATAAACAAAGCATACAAGAACAACAATGATAAAACAAATGAGGTAATAGGATATCCATTATCTATAAATAATTAATCATAATTATTTTTTAATTATAATATATTTAAACTAGTTTAATTTAAAAAGCAGTTTCGTGTACGATCAAATGATAGACGTATTTTGAAATTGATTTAATTCGAAAAACAATAAATCCAATATAGATTGATACAAAACTAAATCGAATATACCTGTTATATGTGAACGTAAAAAATAAATAAGGCAGCAAAAGATTAAAAAAAGGAAAAAAATTAGGAAAATCCCGTTGGAAAGTAACAAAAAAGAAAAAAAATTTGGGTTCAGAAATTGTATGAAATTAAGCACTATCCTTAAAGAGAGGTGCTCCTTAAGAGAATGACAGCACGAGGAAGGCTCTTATCATAATGTTGTCATCCAAGATACTACAACATGCTATAATTCTTGCATGTAGCTAAGGGATCCTGGAATCTTATAGCAATATTATTTAATGTTCATAGTAGGGGCAGAACTTAATTATATTATAACAATAAAAAGGTAACTAATCGAATCTAACACACATGATACGATAGCGAAAAACAATTTAAATTCATATTATTCAAAGCAATTATTTCATATATCAAAGATTTGACAAAGCCAGGCATAGATTGATATTTACAAATAATGAAAAAATAAGAAAATATTTACAAACACGAAACGAGAAGGATGTTCACGAGATACATTCTCTTTTTGAGTGAATATAATCGATATATATCTATTGGAGTTATTTGATATAAAACAAAAATACTAACAAGTTGTTATTCCAATAATAATAAAAAAATTAATTAACTTAAATGCATGAGAAACACTGTTTTAAAGTTTTTATTTGTCTCTCACAAAGACAAGACCTCTAAAATATAACTAAGTCCATAAACTCTCTAGAAAAATAAAAATAAAAAGACAGAAAGAAAATACATTTGATGTGAATATTTTTCTGTGCATTGAAATATCTCTATTTACATACTTGAAACAATACAATGAAACGATATGATTTTTATTCGATTTAATTTCAACAGTTACATTTGTCAAGAAATTAATTTTGAAAATTAAAAAACAAATTAAAAAAGAATTAACCTTATTGACAATCTTAGTTTCAAATTATAAATGTCAAGTATCAGTTTTTGATATATATATATATATATATATATATATATATATATATATCCATTAAATAACCCACTAGAAGAATCCACCATCATCACACTAGGTTAATTTACTAAACCACCAAAATATATCCTTATCAATACTTCAGAAGGAAATGTATCTTTTCAATATACGAATCATATAATATATGATAGAATTCCATTTATTTCTTTCAATGCCATCTATAGTACTGACAATATTAAAATCCAGACTTTATTTATGTGTTTTAAGTGGAGTAAATTATAAATTAGTCTCTCTAATTTCAAGAAACAAATTAATTATTCCTTTTTGTTTTAAAAAATATTATTTAATCTTTTAATTATTGTTAACCATGCTTAATTTAATATTATTTTTATTTCATAAAATCTCTTATTTTCTCATCAATCTTTTCATATTTTATCATTTTTTTTAAAAAAAATCAAAATAAATTAAAAATGAGCAAAAAGACTAAATTATAAGTAGATTTTAAAATATAAGAACTAAATAATTATTTTTTAAACAAGAATGACTAATTAATTTGTTTCTCAAAATAAGAAGGACTAATTTATAATTTACTCTTTTTAAGTGTTTAATAGAAAATGAAACTTAAAAAAAAAAACACGGATAATGCGCCGACCGGTGGCCATAAGGCATGAAAGCATGCGAGATGTGATTGAAATATATAAACAAAAACGGCATGCAAGTTGATGCTCGAATTGAAAATCATATTGTTGGTGGTGTCAGAAACAAATGACCAAACAATTGTGGTCAGTTGGTTATGATGGCGCATTGGAAGGAAAAAATAATAAAAATCAAGCTAAAAATTAACTAAAACTAGTGATTAATTTTAATGATTAAAAACTAAGATAATTAAAAAAATAATTTTATTAACTATTGATGGATTGGTCTTTATCTTTGCAAATGAATCATTATATATCTAACAGTCATAAAATAATTGCTTTCAAACCTGAGAGAATAAGACAATTAACTGTTGTTTTTTATCCAATTCTAATGTGCCACTAATTTATTTTCTTATGCCATGTCTATTTTCGTAATTTTCAATTTTTTTCTTGTAAGCCATTTGCTCGCCTCGTTAATCCCCCTTTGCTATGTCTCGAGTCAAAACAAGTTTCACTGATTAATTCATCTGTCAATATCTCTATATTGCCTCTCGTTAACCATCCTTCAAATCAACTCTTCTTGCCATACTCATTTTTTCTATCATCGACGCGTTTCTAAAACAGTTTTAAGATCTCAAAACATACATAATCACACTAAAAAAAATTATATATAGACGAGGATGAGGATTAAGAGATGGCTAAATAAATATGAGGAACTTGACATCACCATTAATTATAAGCCTCCCTTGTATATTTATGGGTACATTTTGTTAGGTAGCAATTGAAATCTATGATTTATTTATTTATTTATTGTAAGGAGAGTTTAGCGGGTTTAATTTCTCGAATTTAATTTTTTTAAGAATAATACTATTTTTATATAATTATTTTACAAAATTCACATATTAAAAAAAATCTTATGCATTAAATAAATAGATTTCGTTAATAACTCTCATAAATAATATTGTTTGATGAGATATCAATTATTATATAAATACATTATGTATTAATTAAATAGATTTCGTTAATAATTTTCATAAATAACGTTGTTGGATGAGATACAAGACCATTACGTAAGAATAACATTACTTATTTATTAAAAGAGATATGGAAGAACAACCTAAGAGAATGGCCTCATTGATTGTTATTCATATGATTAGGACACTTGTGTCTGAAATGCTTTTGCGCTAGAGTGCAACTCCGAACATAAACCTGGAAAGAAAAAAAGCAGCATGGACAAAAAATTATAAAACGATGGCGTGCCATATCAGGCTATCGGCATAAAATACTACGGTGGTCAGTAGAAGTATGGTCCATGCCTCATGTAAATAATTTAGGTCTATTTAACTACTAAAATTATTTTAGATAACTCACCTAATCCCTGGACCATGCATGATAGCTTATCATATATATATATATATATATATATATATATATAGTGAATGGAAATAAGGAAAAAAGAATTAAAAGCGTTACAAATGGACATTAATTAAGAAACCCATCCTAACTAATTAACTTCAGATGACTTATTTTAATTTTTACAATTCTCACGACGCAAAGTTACTTGATAAACTTCCACGGTGCCAAAACACTCGAAATGTTTTAGTTAGTTTTATACGCCTTTTTTTGGGCAGGAAATTGCCTTGTAAAAGTGGTTTGAGATAGATATAATTATGAGGGAAAATGGTAAACCCCGCAGGCTGATATATCATAGTTTTTTTTTTTTTTCCAATGGATGATTTACCATAGCTAGCCAGAATGGTATATATATCATAAATTGCGTGTATCCGCCTCTTGTATTAATTACATATGCCTTGTGTTGATTTGAACACCGTTAATTAAGCATATAATATTGTTTGTGTTAGTTTTGAATAATCTACATAAATTATTGAATGGAGATTTTAGGTATTTCAGGGGTTCTTTACTTTTTAGTCTATAGTTAACATTAGGTATTTCTGGAGTGTGTAGTTACAAACATTTTCCTTTTTCAAAATAAATAAATAAATAAAAATAAAAGAGGATCTTAATGTAGATCTAGGATTGTTCATCGAAGTTGGCGTGATATTTTTATGAGTTAATTTTCTTTTTAATTTTAAGAGATTGGTCTCGATACGGTTAATGAGAATTTTTTTTTTACTTTTTTGGTTTAAATTTTAAAATTTATTAAATTCATCTAAACATACTAGATCGATGCAGAAGAACGTGCGTGTTGAAAAATAGATTTAATTTCTATCCAATAATATTTTACTATCAAATAAAAAATAATATTTTTTTTTGTTAATATGAATTGTAATATAGTCTAGGCTGAGGTTTCCTCTCGCCATAAACTATCATATGAAAAATACGGTCATTCATGTCTCTCTGTCTGCAAGGCATTAATTTTTTTTTTTTTTTTAAATAGCAAGTACTATAGTTTCATAATTAGACAAGTTCTTGTCAACACACGTAATGTGCTACATTAAAAACTTAGTTAAAATTTTAATTTTAAACTCTCTTGTATCCCTGACTAAAATTGAGGGACGTAAATCAAGCAGTTCAAAAAAAAAACGACATATATAAAATATAATTAATCGCCTTGGAGAAGCGGAAGTTCTACATCTATATATATAGAGTCGAGGAGAGCCCGGAGCTAGACCATGGCAGAAATGAAAAATTCCATCTTTTCGGTTTCCTACGTGAGATTAGCCAGGGACAAGATGGAGGAAGAAGAAGAAGCTCAACCAACAAAAGGTTATTTTCCAGTTCTAGTAGGAAAAGAGGGGATGATGGAGAAATTTTTGATAGCCACAAAGCTAATCAAGCATCCTTTCATTGTTCAGTTGCTCGAAATGTCAGCTAAAGAGTACGGGTACAGGCAAGAGGGATTACTAAAGATTCCATATGATGCCAATTGCTTTAAGAAGATGCTCAAGCTCATATCCAAGAAATAGTATATAGTTCCTCCATTAGAATCTCCTTAAGATGGTGATTGTGTAGTTTCCTTCTTCTCTCTGTTTTTTTTTCCCCTTCCTTTTCAAAACCGGTAAAAGGGGGTCTTAATTAGTGGTGTAAGTTCTGCTTGAGATTTAGTTGCAGTGATCTTGAAGCAGCTTCAAAGATATCTCTACATTACTCTTGGAATATAGAAATCATCAATACAGCATATGGCATGCCTTCTGCAATTATATCTTGCAATTGATCTCAAAGTCCTTTTGCTGAAAACTTTTTTTTGCAGCATTTCTCTGGCATGGATATTATATATCATGAAATTATTCGGGAGTTTATGAATTCCAAACAATTGTGGTTTGGCTTTTTTATTTTTATTTTATTTTCACATCAAAAGGGCAGGGACGTAGGGTCCTCATCCGTAGGGATGGCAATGGGATGGGGCGGGGATAGGAGGCGATCCATTGCCGGCCTCGCCCTCCATCCCCATCCCATCCCCTAAAAAATAAACCCATCATCGCTTCATGTTCCGTTCGGGGCGAAATTTCGCTTCTCATCTCCGCTCAAAACAGGGCGAGGTTGGGCGGTTTTGGGACGAGTTAGATTACCATCCCTACTCATCCAGGTTTAATTAGGTTGTTGGAGGGTAAAAAAAGAAGAAGAAGATTTTATAAACCTTGAGAATATCAACAACAAAATACAAAAATTATATATGTAATAATATAACAACTTTTTCATGATAATTACAAATACACAAAATATTTAAATAACTATATATTATAAATTATGTTTTATTTTTAATGAAAAATAGTTATCCTCCTTTTAGAACGATTAAACATATATTTTAATGGCATAAGTACCCTTTAAGCTTATTCAGGTTTCATTATAAATTTTTTTTGTTAAAGTTTTAAATTCTTATATCCCTGGTTAATTTATATTTTGAGGGGCCTAACAAGAAAGGCAAACAAGTTAGTAAGTCTAGTATTATAATTTATATATCCATCTCCATTCTATAAATGCCGCACGTATGTGCTCAAGTGGCCTTAATTAAAGAAGCAGAAGCAGAAAGCCAGAAACTATATAGACTCAAGGAGAGCCCAGAGAGCTAGCATGGCAAAAAAGCAAGCTTTAACCTCTTCGGCTTCCTTTGTGAGACTTTTCAGTGACAAGATGGAGGAAGAAGATCAAGCTCAACCACGAAAAGGGCATCTTCCATTTCTTGTGAGAGAAGGTCCAGACCATTGAACATGAGTGATAGATCCAAATTTCTTTTCGAGTGTCTTTCTTCGTTTTTTCCCCTTCTATGGACCTTCTTTTCTTAAAACTTTGGTAATGAACTTGGACTGATTTTGGGCCCAAAGGGCTTCTTCACGAGATAATTGGTAAGGCCTTAACCGAATCACGTGAGCCAGTGAGCCTCACCATTGAGTAGATGCAGACACCGAGTCTCGTGGCTGTTTAACTTGTGCTGCTGCTCGTAAGTCGTAAGGTATTATATATGTAGATTGATTGATTAACTTACTAATCAATCATGTTAATTTTTAGTTGACAGATTACAAGTTTGGACGAAATCAAATGCTAATTGTTCCATTAATTCAAATCAAAGATCAGGTGATTTTCAAATAGGATTGGTAACTTACGTAAGAACAATGATGAACTGCTATTTCCTTTTATTTGGAAAACCCCCAAAACAGTGATGTTAGGATTAGAGTGAGAGAGGTCCATCCATAGCCTTACTTGTTATCCATAGCCTTACTTGGCGTGCAAGAATATGGCACAGATGCACCTACATATTTAGAATTTTCTGCAAGTCAACAGTGACTTAGCCACCTCTAATTGGTTGTGGATAAGAATTGCGAAGCAACAAAAATTTTAGCACTACAAATATAATATAGTTAGTGTCGTGCAATTGCCTCGTCCATAAACACCTCTTTCCCTCTCATTTTGTAATGCCGTGTGGCTATGGTTAACACATGTTGTAGATGCTTCTCATACTTCCTCAACACTGCTTTTAAGTTTTGTGGTCCTTGCTAAGCAATATCTAGACAAGTACAAGTGGTTAGCCGTCGGCTGCTTGAAGGGAGAGTACAGTACGATGCTTTCTCTACGGTAGCTAGCTACTACAATTTAAATTGAATTTGTCAATCTAAGTTTATCTAACCCCACCAAATCATGTGTTTGAAAGTTGGAACTGAAGATAAGCGATTGGTTTTTTAATATCAGTAGTGCTTCACTATTTTTATGACAAGAAAAATGACTCGTGGCACCCTTTTTTTTTTTTTTTTGAAAAAAAAGAGACAAATTTCTGACCTTCAAATCTCTTACAGAAAAATCTAACTAGGTTGGTCCGTTGGTAAATAATTTTTAAAAATTTTTTTAATTTAAATTTTGAGATCAGAACTGAAAATTTATTAAATTTTTTTGAATACATTCGGTGGATGTGAACAATTTATTAAATTTATTTGAATGTACTTTACGGATATAAAATTTTATTTTTAAAAACACATGGGAAAAAAAAAAAAAAAGAGATCAATTGACATGCAAATCGACTTAGATATCTTTGCTGAAAAAAAAAAAAAAAAAAAACCACTCTTCCAGAAAGCCACTTGCATGAAGAAAAATGAAAATACCAGAGTAAAAGAATCCAGCAGTTTTATTAATTCAATGTACGGGATTTTCAAAATGGAACCCAGTGCTAAAATTTAACTTTCGGTTTTTTCAAAACTGAAAAAGGAATTGGATTTAAAATTAACGTGGCATAGAAGGTACTTGAATTAGTACATTTTGGTGTCCACATTAATATTGACATTATTGTCGGACGACTATTAGCTACTTTAATGGTTGCTAAAAAAATATTCAATACTACTTGAATTAAAGACAAATTAAAGAGCTTCCTTTCTGGTTTGGAGTAAATTTGTAAGGCCGTGTGGACATTGCTGGAATCTGGATAGAGCTAGACAGTTTCTCATCCTGTCTAAGCTTAATTAGCTTTCAAAGGTTGTTGTCTTTCATGGTCCCCGTATGTACGTGTGTTTGTACCATCTTATCGTGAAAGAAGATCGAGACATCCATAAGCTATCCACAATCACATGACTTGGACACTAATATTGTTTCCCACCTAAAACCTTTCATTCTAGAATGTAAAGAGATGAATATATATATATAACACCTTCTATCCTTTATCGAGTTATATGAGCTTCTTCTTTCTTTTCTTTTCTTCCATTCTTTTGCCTAAAATAATGTCTATGGATTCTACAGACAGTTTAAGCAAAATCGGAGGTAATTTTGAATTCGAAGAATTGGAAATCACCGAGTATGATGGTGCAGTTCTAAGGGATTTACTCCAAGAGACAGAAATTGAGATTGGTGATGATAGATTCGACATTGAATTAGAATCAATGGAGGTGAAGAATGATATCAAGGTGAGAGTAGATAGGCATGACTTCTTGGAGCACAACTATACTGCCCTCCAGGAAGTCGAGGCTATGATGGAGATGAATTCGGCGTTCCCTGACGAAGAAATGATGCCACGGTACGTAGATGACATTGCTGCGATGGTTGATTTCGGTTGCATTGGAGATGCTTCACAGTTCTCCGATGAAGAGTTTTTTTATGGAAGCTTGTGGCAGGATTAAATGCATGCAAGACAATGAATCTTGAAGTTTATACACCGTATTTAAAGCTTGTTTCACTTTGATATTTTTCAAAATTCTCGCTAAGTCAATATTTCAATTCTGAAAGAATACTTGCAGATATGCTATGCCTACAGAACACACACAAAAAGACCCAAGTTCTTCCTTTCTCACAAAAATAAAAGGAAAAAATGGGGGGAAAAAAACAAGAAAAGGGTTCTTGCATTTTTATCTCAAAATCCCATCTCTAATTAACAGGTATAAAACATACTTGAGACAGAAAATTCCAAGTTTAACCAGTAGTTTATACACAGATGCAATTGAGTAATGAGAGGGATTAGCCGGTTTTCTACATCCTTCACAATTACCTTTGTAGCATTATCAATTAGCACATCTTACGATAATAAAAACATGGTCTAATTGTGGAGGGTTTTAAGAACCGTGAACTAGCAAATATTTGCCTGCTCTTCATTTTTCTTCCAGAATTCTACCGTCTTGTGCATTTCTAATCCAAAATTGTCCTTCAAATAAAAGCAACGCATAAAATAACATTTGTTCCTGACACGCCTTACGACCAGCTTATCCTGGAGGAAAAAATGATTGCCTTGAGAATTATTAACCATACATCACATTTCACACGAAAGGACATTTATCTGATCTTCATTTACTACCAACCAGTAATCAAATGGCGACATCTTTGATAGTTGCAACGTTTTCTTCTAAACGACACTGCCCGGCCTGTTTTCATCGTGCTGAAGTTGCATTTCTCACAAAGTCAAACATCTTTCAAGCCAACAGAAAACTTGGCTATGAAAAACCCAATTGTATCCAGGGAAGATGATGGATCAAACCTCTGAACAAATTCCTCCTCTCCAGGTCTTAACCACTCCCTGATGTTACAGGCACCACAGATTGTTATTCATGGAAGAAAAAAAGTAACATAGGAGTTATATTTATGGCTCTGTACAGGGACTTGCATAGGCATAGAAGGCTACTCAGCATGAACATTGCCTTACCAATAGTGATAGTGTAGACATGCCATAAAGAAGAAATATATCAACACTTAAGCAAAGATAGAAATTGGAGAGGAAAGATTAAAAGAAATAGGATAGAATATCTTTTTGAAGTTTTGATAGTCAAAATAAGAACCAGCAAACCATGTGTTACACAAACAAGGAGGAAACATTGATATAGCAAGTGAGTTCCACATCAAACAAAGGAAATCTCTTTCTTTTTTTCATTTTTGTTACAAAGGAGAGACTCGAATTCGAGGCCTCTTGATGGGAGGAGGGACACCAATGCCAATTGAGCTGCAGCTCATCGGCAAGGAAACCTACTAAAGTTCTAGCATAGAAATAGTCCTAAAAGACCTTTAAAGCCTGCAGCAGTTGTTATTTCTAAGTTTAAGTTCATTTATAAGACGACAACTTTGTCATTGGTTGAACAGAGAGCTTATCGCAACTCAAAATTGATCGGGAGAACAAAAATGTGCAATAACAGAAGCATTCACAATAGAGGAAAAACAGTGCTATTTTCACCCAACTCTCCAACAAATACAATGGCTTGTGTGGTAAAAAAACAAAAAGAAAAAGGAATTGTGGTTAATATTTACTGTCTTTGTAGGAAAATCTAAAGGAAACATCATTGTCAATGGAAAAGTCACCTGCAGGATAGCGGTACTTACTCGATGTATCCATTAGGAAATTCAAAAGAACCAACAAGGCCAGGTCCTCCAATTCTAGGATTCTGAAATAGATCATAAGAACAGATTCAATTGCATGTCCAATCAAACAGCTTCGTGAATATATGCGAGCATATGGGTGGTGGGTTTACATAAACATAATAGTATCACTTTCCACCTGACAATTTTATATGGTCATACTTTAATATTTCAATCTAGGAAAACACCACAAAGCATTTACTAGTTGTTGTTTGCATTGGCAGCGACTATTAAGAACCATCCAAAGAAATGTATCACCTTGTGCGAGGAAAATAACTTTAGCACTCTTCCTAAATCCAAATGCTCACATTACTGCATAAATGCATTACAAACTATATCTCCTCACAAACACATTCAAGCAACAAGAAATAGACCGGCAAAAATTTAGGGAAATCCAAAGGATAAAAAAACAAGAAGATCTGAACTGTATGCTTTGAAAGGTTATCTCAGCAAGAATTTTCAAACAAGCATGTAAATGAAAGACCTCAAGTGTTTGAAAAAGACAGGCCAATAACTTAGTGGAAAACTTTATAACCACCATTTCAAACTTAAGATGTGAACTTTACTGTTGTTATGGGTAAGAATGAAGAAGAAACCTGTGGTACTAAGGAGAGGAATTTATATGTATCCAAAGCATATCGAACCAATGCTTCATTCTCACCAGGGTTTATTGTACATCTAGCAAAACAAAGAGAAAAAAGGAGTGTGAGGAGTATACCTCAACATGCACTATAAGAAAAATATATCCAAACAGTTATTGACGAGTGAATAAAGCACAAGGTGCCGGAATTACCAAACACAAATACATAGTTTATATTGTTTATTACTGATTGTTCTTTTTATTTCCCATTACACCACAAACTTTTAGCACGCCATAAAAGTAGTTTAGTGATCCATGCATTTCGACAAGATGGATGTGGAGAAATTAGAAAAAAGAGCAGAAAAAACACCGCCAGCTCTCTCCCCGCTTGATTGTATCAATGAGTTAAGGCAATATTGAAACAACTACCCCTTTAACGGAGAAGATCCACAACTTTTATGGCAACTAGCATGCACATTATCATCCTGTAGGCAAACTTCTTTTACATTCTTTTAAATTATAACGACACATGCACAACAAAACAAAAAGTGAGCCAATTAATGCATACTAACGTTGAATAGACAATCACACCACCAGGGCGAACTAGTTTAACAGCCTGGTCAAACATTCTCCTTTGATATGTTGCGTGTCGTTTTAGAGAGTCTATTGTCTCCTGGAAAAAAATGACAAACCAAAATCAACTTCTACATGACAAAAAACCTCAATAGTTCAATGGAAGAAACAACAACGATTAGATATGTAGTAAATTGGGGTGGATGTGTGTGTGTGTGTGTGTGTGTGTGGTTTGGGGGGGGGGGGGGGGTGGCGAGGACACTATCATGAGAGTATTAAAAATCTAATTTCAGGTGTTATTTATTTATTTATTTTTTACCCAGTACATCCCAAAGAAATATCAAAACAAGAAAATATCACAGAAAACAAAAGAGAATGACTTGGTCCATATTCTCCTACCTCGCCAACAAAAAGCCTAGGTCTCAAACCAAGAGCAGAGCAGGGAGCATCAAGGAGAACTCTATCAAAGCTATCAGGGAAGAAGCCTTTCGAATTCTCGACTTTGCCACCAAGGCACTGATTCCTTCCTGGCCCATTCCGCATTCTTCGCTTATTCTTCCTGATGTCAGCTTTGCTAACATAAGTTCCCCCATTCTCAATTGCATTGCTAACTAACATATCAAAAGATCGAGAGGAACTTGTAAATATAGGGAAATACATTTTTGTCAATGGAAGTTCATAAAAATGGCCAAAATTTCCTGAAAACAAAAACTCTAATCGTGGAGGGAATATCAAGATCTTACATTGATAAGAATTCTTAAAATGGCCAAAAGCGTTTAATACATGCTACTATGACTATTTTGCAATAAATTGTACCTCAAATTGTCCAATTAGAAAGCTCCATGAAAAAAAAAAGAATCTACGAGGGAGCTTAAATAATGAAAATCAATAAACTGGACTGGTGTGATTTCAAATGAAGATGTTCCTTGTGTTTCTTAAATAATCAGCAAGAATTGATAGAAAGTTGAAAAATATGAAGCATACTTTACCTGGGGCAATTCGGGCATAACTACAGAATAATTATAAGATAATTTCAAGACACTAGAAACTCTCATCATGATTTAATCAATTTACTGCTTGTTTCGATAAAAAGGTGCATTACATCAATGAAAAAGAGCAGAATTTACACACCATTATCATCGCATGTTTTATCAGGATTAAACCCTTCAACAGTAGAAGATGACTTTTTCTCCTCGTGAAACATCAATGTGTCAGAACTTTGATTTGTGTTTATATCATCTGCTTCATTTCTTTGACGAACAGCTTTGAGAGCATCCAGTTTATAAGTAGTTATACAAGTCAAGCTCATTTCAGCAGCCAATTTCTGAATATCCTGCACCTATAAAAAAGCAAGAAACTAAATCCTAAAAACACAAATGATAAGGAAAATCAACTATTAAATCTTCAAAGGTAAAATTTTCTAGCATCAAATGTAGTGAAATTATCATGGCAAAGCATTTAAAAGAAGGAACGAAGAAAATATTGTTGCCAATTTTTTTTCCCTTGGGATCAAGAAGAATTTTATTAGAAAAAAAAAAGGAAAAAAAAAATAAAAAAAAGAGAATGTGTTGCACATCCCATAGAAGTAACAAGTTACACAATTATATACTAAATTTAACAAAGCATTGAAAATCGAGACCTAGTTATAATTGTGCAACAGGACAAAAATCCATGATGCAAGAGCCATGTGATGGGAATGGCATTCTGTCATGACATCTACTATTTAGAAGTCCCACCTTATTATGAGACCTATCAACTGCAAACAAGTCTCCTTCATCCTTCATAAGGATTGCAATTGCAGTTGTCTTCCCTCCTGGCGCTGCACACATGTCCAATATTCTTTCACCTTTTTGAGGATCTAAGACATGACAAAAGAAAAAAAAATAGTATCATTAAAATGCTTAACAAAATGTAAAATTAAACATGTGTACAAACATTTAGATGTAAATCATATATTAAGCAATTATGTTTGTACAAACATTCAAGTAAGAGAAAAACACGAGTTGTACTTCAGAAGTGTGATGATATGTGGGAAATACCTAAGGCATGAGCAGTGACAATGCTTGGCAAGTTCTGAAGAAATATTTCTCCTTTAAGCACATCTGTAACCAAGAAAGAAGAAACAAAAGATAGACAATGTCATTTGTTTGCATAAAAGTAAATGATATCATTTTCCATGGGAAATCATCTTCTAGTGCACCACTTACACTTTACACTAAATTCTTTTTAAAAGGTTGAAATAAAGTCTGTAAGGAGTAAATTTTACCATAAAAAGAAGGCAGTTTAAATACTCGATTATTCATATCCACAGCAATTCCTTCTGAAACACGGAATAAGCCAGCCCTTGACATTGTTGTTGTTCCTTGGCCAATATATAAGCCATTTCTTTCAAAATAATAAGGATCTACAGTGACATAACAATATGTGTCAACCTTCAATCAAGGAGTTGGTAAAGAAATAATTGTACAGAGATTTAATAGTGACATAAGTTACGAATAAAAGATGCACACTCAAAGGAAACATATGAAGTCTAGCCATTGAACTCAAGCCAACAAGATTATCATATGACAGGGTATCTTTGTTCCTTAATTGAATGAAAGTGTGCATAAGCGTGTAGCTGCATGACAAGTCTATCTGCATCCGATCAAATAAAATACATTTTTCAGAGTTTGTGATTTTTATTCCCATGACACATGAATTCCCATGACACCTTCTCTATGACAAGAAGTAATTCAATATGATTGAGTAAACCAAAGGTGTGGCATGGGTACAAATGCTGTCAACTATGTGTCCTGTGTTTCACTACATTAAAAAAATTACTAGCAGACTGATGTCTTACTTCAACAGCTTGTGCATTCTTTTGTTGTTCCATTGATGAATCGTTTCTAAACTGAAAAGATGATTTTAAGTATATATAAGATAGGACATAGTGTTCACGATGAAACAAATTTTTAAAGAATGTCTTGCCTGTCTGTAATCCTTGTAGAACAGTCCCACGTGTCATGCCAATAGCCCATCCGCCATTAGGATTGTGTTGCTCTATAGCAACTGAAACTGCAACCGTTTCTCCTTTTTCAACATGAGCACTACAAGCAACTACACCAGGAACAAATACCTACAAGTAAATCATCAGCAGAAAACAATCGAAAGCAGTTCTAGGAGTCACTACATCCCAGGTCTACTGCAAATTCCACACTGTTATTTTCAAGATCATCGGCAAACAGAATAACTAAATAAAATAGGAGTATTATGGGAACATGCGTTACCTGAGCACCTCGGAGAACAGCTTCAGCGCATTTTCGACTGACCAGCACCTCCTTTGGAGGCGCACCAGGTGCATAACCATAATCAATCCTATGCGGTCCGGTGCCCTTAACAAACAGAACATTATCTAACCCTGGTATCTGACACTTAACGACAGGGTCATTTTTCAAGCTTTCCTCCAGTGGCCTGCCTACATTTCCATTTGGTTCCAATCGTACCTCATTGCGACAATCGCCATCAAACCCCCTTTCCTTTATAATTTCCAACAGCTTCTCAATAACAGCATCACTTGTTGACTTTAAAGTGTTTACACGAATACAAGAATAACTCGACGGACGCCTAATTGAAGTAAAATAACATAAAAACGCTATCAGATTTAACAATAATCACAATAATATTATCATTAGCAGCATGATTAATTTGGTAAATGGAAGACAAAAATCTAAAAGAAAGAGGAAAATAGAGAGTTTACGTTAGGGCTCTAGAAATGCGGGAGAAATGATCGGCGCCGTAGGCTTTAATGAAGTAGTTCTCGACCTCAGGGTTCCATCGCAAAATCGGACTGAAACAGTAACGGTCCGATGGATCCATCTGTTTAAACAAACACGGCAACTAACAATTACTCCTACTTACAGTTAAAAAAAATATATATATATATATATAGAGAGAGAGAGAGAGAGAGAGAGAGAGAGAGAGATTATAGTACTTTGGGAGTGGTAGTGGTAGAGCTTCTGCGGATGGTTTTGAGCAGCAAATGCAAATCCCTCGCTTTTTTCATTCAAAGCCGTTGATTAGGGCAAAAGGTGAATATTTGAGTTGTTTAAATATCATAGTGCTGATTTAGAATCAAATTAGTCCCTCCGTTATATTTTTATTTTCAATTTCATTTACAATATCTTAATTCTTATCACTCCTCAGTTTTATCGCTGCCACGGTCATAGTCTCCTGAAATCTGAAAGCATCACAGATGTATAATATTTGTATCACACATTTGACGGGTGGAAGTTAAAAGTGAAGATAAAAGGTTTTATTAACTACTCTTGTAAAAGATTTCAATTGAGAAAATCGAGTTCTTTAACTAATTAATTATCTGCCCTTCCAAATAATCTTAGAATTTCAAGAGATTTAACTCAAAATTTTAAAATATTTAAAAATACACGAGTCACAGGTTAATGAAATTATTATACATGATGTCATATTTTATGTCGTTTTTATGAAATTTCCCATGTAAAAACTGAGCAAATATTTTATTTTAATACAAATTAAAATGCAAGACTTTACAAACGATTAGTCGAATGTCAATGATTGACGAGATTTTTTCTTTATAGCATAAATTGCAGTGTGTGATCTTATTTCTTTTTGTAACTCTTCGAAATTATTTAATAGTTATAAAATTGTCTAAAAAAGTAAGCTTTTGTGTATGAATTACTATTCACTGTTCTTGTTTGAACGAGTGTGTGGAAAATATAATAAACCTGCGTTAAGCAGTTAAGCTTTGTAATTTCTGAGTCTTTGGACTTCTTGGTATGATTGTATTAAACAATACGCGAACGAGTGTCAAACAGTTGGTCCAAGAACCTTTTATGCTTCTATTTATTTGTGCGGGCAAGGGTTGGAAAAATGGAAAGTCCGTTTGGGCTATGAGCCATGTTTGTTTTTGGGCCTTGTACTTGGGTTGCATGTGATTTATTAAATTTAACGATATGAGGCTGTCCGACACCATTTTATTAATTTTGATTTTTCTGTTTTTGGAAAATTGAAAACTGTTCTGTATTTATTGTTTTTCAAAAGCTATTTATTTTTTAATAGATATATATAAAGTAAAAATGTTGATTCAAACTTAATTTAAAAATATAAAAAATAATGATATCAGTCGCAAAGATTAAAAGATTATATTATGATAATAACATGTATAACAATGGTGTTGATGATAATGATAAATTGATGATTGATATGATATTTAAAATAATAATAAATATTATAGTAACATAGTAATACTAAATGTATGGTGATCGTTATTTTATTGATAAATAATTATAATTATAGTGGGTGATAATATAACAAAAGTGGTTTGAAGAATATAGTAGCAATAAAAATAGTCATAATTTAGTGTTGAATGAGTTAATTATACTTGTGATGTTGTTAAAAGAGTGATGAAAGTGAAATGAAAACGGTGATTGTGTCAATGATGCTGGTGGTAGTGAAACAACAAAATAAAATAGTGATTGTGTTAACTATGTTGTTGGTTTTTGCTATGATTATAATTTTAGGATGATATCGATGGTGGTTGTGGTGTGATGATGTTGATATATTAGTAAATCAAAAATTTTTAAAATCACTCTTGGTTGTTTAAAAAAAACTGTAATTTTTAAATTGCTTACAAAAGGCTGTTTTTATTTTTTAAATTATTAAAAAAGGAAATAAACACAAAAAGGAAGTAAATGCATTTTTTTTTTTTACTACAAAACTATAGTGATACCATTCATCACTTCAACACTAGCTTTTTTTACTAGGTTAATGGTTCAGAATATGTCTTTACTAATTTATTTGTCTTAATTGTATCTTTTTATTAAAATTTTCATTAACTATGTCTATTTATTTTAATTGGCATTTTAATTTCGTCATTCTATCCAAATTTGTAGGCAATGGCATCGATTTTCAGCTTAAGACATGCAATATGTTGGCACTTGATGATTTTTTAATTTTTTTAAATAATAAATTTATGAAAAAAACTATAAAAAAAATCTCAAAATGCTCTTCTTTTTTCTTTGTTTTTGCTTCTATTCCTATGTTATGAAAAAATTTTCATAAAAAAATTTCTTTGGATTTGGATTTGAAATAAATTTTCATAATAAACTTACGAAGGAAAAAAAAATCGTTCCATCCTCTACATAAAAAATTTTCTTTTTGGTTTGGATTTGAGAGAGAGAGAAAAAATCGGTGATGAAATTAATTATTTATTTTTTTATATAAAGATAGAGAAAAAGAAAGGCATTCTGAATCTTTTTTAAAAAAAATTATCCCATATCAATACTGTCGTTGGAAATTGATGTCATCATCTGAAAACTTTGAAGGAAGAACGAAATTAAGACTCTAAGTAAAGTAAAGGGATGCAATTAACAAAAAAATTAATAAAAGGATTCGATTAAAACATGCAAAACAATTTATTGAACCTTTGAATTATTAATTTGTTTATTTTTATTTAAAAAGTGAAAAAACGCAAACGAGACAAGGGACTCTTCGGTGCAACATGACAATGCTCTACTGTATGGGTGATACGCACAATGATTTTTTTATGGACAACACCGGATTTGGCACCAATTGGCGCCGTAGCTGCAGAGGAGAGTCCCACTCATTTCGCAAACCGCCACCAAGGCACCAATCCCTTTAAAGAAAACAAAAATAAAAAAACGATACAAACAAAATACAAAAAATACAGAACGGATCGAAGCAAATCGATTTGATCGCCAAAGGAAACAACAACAATGCTTCGAATAAATGTACTTCGACTCGTTCCCTCCAATCTCTCATTACTCTCTTCACAATCCCTGATTCCCAGACTTAACAACAATAACAAGTACTGCACAATGAGGAATTACACAACGGCGTCGTCTCAGTCCTTCAATGGCAAGAAGAAGCTCTTGTTTCGCCAGCTTTTCGAGAAGGATTCCTCTACTTACACGTATTTGCTAGCTGATGTTGCTCATCCGGATAAACCTGCTCTGGTTCGTTTGACTTAGCCATGTACCTCTTTTACTTTAATTTTTAAAATGAAACTAATTAATGTGTTTGTTTTCATTGCATTAAACTAGAATTTAAAATTTAATTTTTACTGTGGTCTTCCTCTCTACGCAGTTAATTGATCCAGTTGACAAGACAGTGGACAGGGACCTCTCCCTTGTAAAAGAGTTAGGATTAAAATTAATTTATGCTATAAACACTCATGTTCATGCCGATCATGTAACCGGAACTGGCTTGATTAAGGTTTGAGCACTCCTTTACTGTACAAATATAATTCGTTACTTGCAGCATTTCTTGTGACTGATTACTTTAGGTTCTTTCATTTTCCAGACTAAGGTTCCTTCAGTGAAATCTATTATTTCGAAAGCAAGCAAATCCAAAGCTGATGTTCTGGTTGAAGATGGTGATAAAATTCATTTTGGGGACATTTTTCTGGAGGTAATAATGATTTTATTGCTTTACATGATCTTCTTCGGCCTAGGGATTTAGAACTAGAGTAGATTTTAAATAATTATTAGAAAAACACCGATGAAAGATATTCAGCAATAATTTAGTTTTGTAATCTGGTTGCAATTAGTATTGAATTACTGCCTAGCGTTACCAAGTTTTAGTTATTATCTTAAACAGCAAAATGGTACTCCATGGATAGTGCTCATACTATTTTTCTACTGAAATTTGAATGGATGTGGAGAGAAGCTATTTTCTTCAAATTAAGCATAAAATTTGAAACGTGACTTCCAATAGTTGAATTGGAGCATGAAGAGCGTAATTTGTGAAGGAGCTCAAGCATCCTATAGATTGAATGAAAAAATGCATAACCATCTGATTTTGTTGTGACTTGTAGGATCATCATATACTTTTTCCTATTAAATATTGAGATGGAAAATAATAAATAGTGCATTGTTTATTATCTTTGCATGCCTCGTCCATCTATTTGTTTCTCTTTATCAACATGCATATCTATTCTTCTATATTCCTGTTTCGGCAGGTTCGAGCTACTCCGGGCCATACACTGGGTTGTGTTACATATGTTACTGGAGATGGGCCAGATCAGCCTCAACCAAGGATGGCTTTTACTGGGGATGCATTGCTGATACGTGGATGTGGAAGAACTGATTTTCAGGTCTGGCATGTTTTATTCTTTTGGATTCATCTTCCTAGGACTTTGAGGGCATTTTATGGAAATTATCAAGCAGCATTTTCAATCCCATTAATATTACTTGCAGGGTGGAAGTGCACATCAACTCTATCAGTCAGTACATTTACAGGCAAGGACATTAGATTAAGAATAACATATGATTTTCTGTTATAAAAGAAAAGAAAAGTAAATATTTATTTAACCTTTGCCTTATTTTAATGGAACCAGATATTTTCATTGCCCAAGGAAACCTTGATCTATCCTGCTCATGATTACCGGGGATTCACTGTATGGAGCCATCTCTTACCTTTTTAGATTACTAGATCTGTCATGCAGCTGCTTATGCTAAACCTTTGTGACGTCCAGGTCAGCACTGTTGGGGAGGAAATGCAATATAATCCCAGACTGACTAAAGATGAGGTGATCCTTTTGTCCCCTTGTGTCATGTTCTGATATGTTTAGATTGTATTTCCTTACAGTAATCATTGCTCTTATCCAATTATTAGAAGTAGGTAGCAACTTAATAGTATTTCACTGTAATATTTACTCTTTAACATAGCAAATGATATTCAGCGCATCATTTAATCTACTGATTTCCTATGAAAAGAGCCTGATAATTTATTTACTTGAATATTACAGAAGCCTGCCAAAATTTGAAATTTCCGCATTTATAGTTTTTTTTTCATCTCTAATTGGTTCAATTCTTGAAATAACGTGTTTCTTCTTTTTGCAGGAAACGTTCAAGGGCATCATGGCAAGTAAGCAACTTCATCCATTTTATTAATATTCTATGTAATACTGGTTCTTTTTCTACATCTTTTGAAGATTGAATTTAAAAATGATCATTTTTTACAGATCTGAATCTTCCATATCCAAAGATGATTGACATAGCTGTTCCTGCAAATATGGTCTGTGGGCTGCAAGACCCGTCTGTGAAGCCTGTTGAAGCCACATCGAACTAGATATAATCAGGTGCAGTTTTCTTATGTTAACTTTGTCTGGATTCATAAATAAGTTATTCGCACTGATTGCTATGGTGTATTTTACTCGTGTACAAATATCACATATATAAAGCATAGCTACAACAGAAATCACCGATATGTTATTAGAGATAAACATTGGCTCCCTCATTACCCTTTTTGTTTTTTATATAAAAAATGCATGTTTTCCTTGTAGCTTTGCAACCCTCTGAATCCTAGACCACCAATTAACAACACAAAAGTTGGCTGTTCCTGTGAATGTAACATCACAATCAAGTTATTGATAGAAAATGGACGTGGATTACTTTACAAAACTTTTTAAAGCACCTTAAAGAATAAAAGAATAGGATATCCATAAAAAATAAAAGCATGAAATAAAACTAAGAAATGACCAATAGTATTCACAGTCATCATCCCTTGCCAAATTCTTATAGTAGAATTTTGATTTAAACCTGGGCGCACCTTTGCCAATAGAGGATGAGTACAAATATGTGGCTTCCCTGGCAACACTCACTCTGATTGTGCCGTGCACTCAAATTCTAGAACTGGTTATGCGACCTTAAATACAGTGGTCCCTTCCATTCAAGCGGAATGTGGGTTCCTTGACATTTGCGTTAATGTCATTGAAGTTGGACGCATGCCATTCTGTTTTGTTTGTTATTAATTCCCCATTGGTTCCTATATACTCTCTCTTTTTTTGCCCTGTTTATAAGGAAGTCTATTAAATGTTGAGCTACAAACTAGGGGTAGCCCTCCCCTTCTCCAATGTGAGCAGGATTTGAATCCAAGTCACTTGATACCATGTCAAGTGACTTTACCTGCTAAGCTAGCTAGCTGCCACCTGTGGTCGCTCATGTAAGTGTGGCGGTTTTGACATTCCTCAACATCCCATAATGTGCCCCTGAGAGTTATGAAGTTCAGTGGATTGTGGAGATGGACGGATGCTTGTGTAAACAATGAGCATTCTGCAGTGTTTTTTGTCTCTAGGATGTTTTGATGAGAGGATCAAACTCCAAAACTTGCGAGTGTTTTTACTTTGTAAAGGGATGAGATTGATGATCGTTACAGAATTAAAACGGATTGTGGACTCATTTGGGCTACTTTGTCCTGAAAGAAAGAGAATTGACGTTGGCTGCAGGTTTTCTGGTGGGATTGTGAACAAGGACTCGGTGCCTACTTACGTGACCTTCTTTTATCGGTTAACTTGCATAACTGGTTGCTCCTTTTCTTTTCCTAGTGATTACTTATTCTTATATATAATCTCAAGGAAAAAGGTTTTGAGAAAAACTAGTCTTCAGCAATTTCATTTTTCTTTTTTTCAGCTATGGATTAAAGACAATTCCTATCATACAAGGATATGTCATTGATTTTCTTCCAATTTCTTTACCAAAAAGAAGTAATTAACAGGCATTATCAAGGAAATTAAACTTATAATAACAGTTATCATTAAGGACATTAAACTGATAATAAGAATTATCATTTCTTGGACGGCGACTTGAAAGAAACAAAACTTATGCTTAAGAGGTATGATCTAATTTACATGGATGGCTACTTGAATAAACTAACTAAGAAAGGAATAGCTTTCGCTAAGGGATACGATCTCATGGTTGGCTACTTAAAGAAAGAAAGAAAGGTTGATGGATAGATGACTTTTGCTAAGACGTATGATCTCATGGATGGCTACTTAAATAAACAAACAAATTATTTCTTTTTTTTTTTAATATAAAGAAAAAACAAAAGACTAATTTAAATAAACATTTAAATAATTCAATCTCAGAGGTGGATTCTAATTCTATGGCCCACATGGCTCCGCTCGTGCATGTCCTTCTTCATCAGTAGCTGCTGTTAGAAAATTAAACTTTTACATACTGTGTGACCACTTTTACACACAAGCAAGCATACTTTGCGCCATTTTAAATTTAGACGTTGTTCTAAAAATAAAAATAAAAATAAAAATGGTTAGTTGATGTTAGAATAAACAAAGTTAATCCTTATACCTATAAAACAATATCTATACATATACACTTAAAACTTCTCTCTCTTTCTCTTTTACTTTGATGTTTATTTTAGATTATGGAAATATTACAAACTTACTGAAAAATGCAACTCAATCCATCGAAGAATTACATTGACTTCTTTTAATTATCCTCCTAAAACTTTAATGAATCCAACACGATAATTAACAATCTTGTTACATTGAAAATTTTTATGTTATGTGAAGTTATATTAACATACTTGAATCAATCGTCATTTATAATTTATTTCATTTATAAAAAAAATTACTTATTAATTTTTATCGTAATTTTCAATTTGACGATCAAACCAATTCCTACAGCTGATGGTGGTGAAGTGGCTAGATCAGAATTGGTTAGGTCAGGTTCAATCCGTGCATCGCGAGGGCAGTGGGCAATGGTAGTGCAGATTATTTAGCTAACGAGGGTGTGAGAAGTTCTGGGTCTGGCCCTTCTCAGTTTATGTTCAAGCCTTCTATTGGGATTGCGTCGCATTGTTTTTTTATTCTATTGGTGGTCTGTAGCCTGTAGGTGAGTAGCGTAGTTTCTTTGCTTGTTTGGGCCTTTGGCCACGTTTCTTTCTAGGACGCGCACAACCTTATGTAAAGTTAGGCTTGGAATCAATTTAAATTTCCCTATTTTAGTGTCAAATTTATGTTTGGTAGCACAATAATAAGTAACATACTTTATTTTAAAATTAAAAATTTCGAACCATAAGAAGTGGCTTAATAATAGGAGTTTGGACTTCCAACAAGAGCCTCTTTGTTGTCATCACAGGATTTATGTTTGTTTTTCCGGTTTCAAGAGGGTGGAGGGATTGGAACCTTTGATTATAAAATTAATCCGTATCCATAAAAAAAATTGTGGAAGAATAAAAAGTTTCCAGATTACAAAAAATAAATAAAAATAAAATAAATAAATAAATCCAAATTTTATTTTTAAATTTTTTCTTGTAGATATAGATAATAATTGAAATGATATATGTTATTAGTGAATGTGGAAACAAAAACTATAGGTTAAGTGATGTTACTAATTACTTAATTGTTTACAGAACTAATAGTCCATACCTAAAGAAGTACATAATTAATTACCCTACAACCAAAAACTGCAAATTATAAATTAGTCTTTCTATTTTCAAGAAACAAATAATTAATTTCTCTTGTTTTAAAAACTAATTATTTAATTACTATAAATTATAAATTTATAGTTTACTCATTATTTCGATTAGATAACTTTGAAGTCATAGAATTATATATTAAATATAAAAATCACATCTTCCAAAATTAGTATTTGAAATTGAGTTTTAATTATTTGTATCAATGTACTATTAACTTATTCATTAGAAATACTTCTACTAATGAGTACATAATAGTAATTATCATAGCTATCGTTTAAAAATGTAGCAGCATTACACCTAAAATAATGATTAAATTTAATCTATGTTTTGCTCACGTTTCTACTAAATCCTTTTGTAGCTAAAATAGGCAACGTGCACATGGCCTACAATAGGGAATAGGGAAATGTGAAGAGGCAAGGTAATGTTTTTCCTGTAATTATGATGGTTTCAAGTAGTTTATTACCCTTCAAATTTTCCATTCCCGTTGTTGGATCCACATGGTACTTTTGCGTTTGACCACTTCACAGCTACATGTGCGAAAGAGAACCAAATAACGGGCAATTTTTTATTTTATTTATTCATTTCATTTCGCGTAAGTACGATAAGAACATTGAGGAGACCTCAGAGAATATTTCTTTTTCAAGGGCTACGACTTTGGAGCTTTTTTTTTTTTTTTTTTTGCCTGACCATGACTTCCAGAAACAAATTGAGGTGAACTGAAAAGCTAATAGACTTGATGAGATGGAAAGATGAGAAGATTTGAAATCAAATATTAGAGTTTAATTTATTTAGACAAAGCATTTCTCAAAAGTCTTTGAAGGCATCATGTTTTTTGACATTTTATGTTACCATCCATATGGATGAAGACAGATGTACAGCGGAAATTCTCACCAGATTTTCCATTGTTCAAAATCTTTTGCTTCACCCCATAAACAAGCACTTCCTCTTTACTTGAATAGGAAATGCTTAATTGATGGGTCTTGGAGCCAAACTTAATGTGATTGCGTGTTGGGAATCCCCCAACACTACCAACATTTGTGTGTAAATCCAGAAGTTCTCAACCAATTTTCTTGGTTGCCCATCTTTCTTAAGGCAACATTATTTTTCATGGAATTTAGTATAATTTATTGGAGAATAACATAAATTATATATTGAGGTTTTATCTAATAATTTAAATTTTTAAATAGGATGATTTTTTAATATGGTATTATAATCTTATTAACCTAACGGTTTAGAATTTAAATCTTACAATTCATATTTTTTCTTTTAATTAATTAAACATAAAACAGTGTAGATTTGTTCATGTTTTAAGTTCAAAAGATTTTTATTTTAAAAAATATACTAAAAAATAATATAAATCATCTACCGAGATTTCACCTAATAGCCCAAGCTTTGAATTGATCATTTAACATAATTAAATGACAAATAATATATCAACTTCAGAGTTAAAAATAGTTAGTTCAATCATCTGAATAAACATTTTTTTCTCAATAAATGATGATCTGAAAGACCTAAATTATAAAAAGATACGTAGTACTCTTGAATTAAACGATTAATTACTTATTGCATAGACCATAGATTCTTCTAGCTATTTCAATGTACGGAATAATATATCTTTAGTTCAAAGAACTCCATAAACAATTAAAAATTCTGCATATATAATGCAAGAACAAGTCCACAAAAAAATTATACTCATTTGGAACGGTAAGTCGAAATTCTTTACTTGGAAAAAACTCCATATACAATTAAAAAAGGAAAGAACAAGTCCACAAAAAAAATTATACTCCTTTGGAACGGTAAGTCGATTTTTTTTTATTGGAGGGTACAAGTCCACTTTTTTTTAACTCGTGGTA